TTTGGGGTACTTAGGGCTTGCTTTAAGCCCGATAGTTTTTTTCTCCAAAACAATCAATGTACGTGGAATATTTCTGGAAATTAGGAGGAACTTGACAATCGGAAAAATTTTAGAACTTCGGAGTCATTAGGTTTTGCAGTCATTTCAACCCCTAAATAGGGGTACTTTTCTAATACCTCATCTGGTTTTTAATTACGATTAATTTGATTTATTGGAAGTCTGATTAGGTTTATTCTTAAGGTCGAAGTCTAATGCGCAAAAACTGGAGAAAAACTACTTATGAATATTTGAGTTCACAGCTTTGGTGTTGGCTCCCAATTTCATTCTCAGCAACATTGAAACATAAATGCGCAAATTAATAGTCGCCCTCTCATAATCATACTAAATGGCTTTTTAACATACTGCTTTGCCGTTCGAGTGGTTCGAACCACCATTTCGGGCATCCAAATTTCGTTTTTACAAAACTGATCGATATAACTTAGTTTTTGAAGTTGTCACCAAATTAAGTAGTTCCATTGATAAAACCATTTCAACTAGTGACCTGTGCGCATCGTTTTTTCTGAGTTTAATAGTACAGGGTGGGCCAAAAGCTCCTGACTGATTTTAAAAATTCATAAGTTTTTCCCAAGTTAACAAATCTGATTTTTTTTCAGAGTTACAAAGTAGAGCTCTGGATATTTTAGAATGGAGAGACTTACTCTAATCCAGAAAACCGAAGTGGTACAATTTTACTATGAACATAGTCATTCGATTGTAAACATCAAGAGAGCTTATCGAAGATTTTTTAATGTTCAAAACGCTCCATCCACTGGGGCTATCCGCAGCATTATTCGGCGTTTTCAAACCCAGGGTTCTGTATCGGACCTTCCCCGAACTGGACGACCACGTTTAGCTTTCACTGGAGAAAACATAGAGAGAGTGAAGTGCTCAGGAGGACCCCGAAACATCGACCAGAAGAAGGTCAACTCAATTAGGCCTCTCCAGCACATCCCCCAGAATAATTTTGAAACGTTTGCGAAAATTTACTTACAAAATTCAAATGGTTCAGCACTTACGACCACAAGATTATGCACAACGACTAAATTATGCCATTCGTTTTCAGCAATGGGTTAGAGAGGAAGACAGTTTTTTAAATCGTCTAATAATGAATGATGAGGCGCATTTTCATCTGAATGGTTTTGTGAATACGCAAAATTCAAGAATTTGGGGAAGGCAAAATCCAAGGCTGTACACGAGAGAGAATTCCACCCCATTAAATGTACGGTTTGGTGTGGTGTTACTATACCACCCAGGGTATTATTGGGCCGGATTTCTTTCATAATGACGATGGAACTGCGGTGAGTGTTACTGGCGAGAGGTATAGAGCTATGCTTGAAGATAGACCTGATATGTGGTTCCAACAGGATGGAGCCACAGCTCATACAGCTGGAGCCACAATGGCATTGCTAAGAGGCTTCTTTGGAGAACGTCTTATTTCAAAAAGATCGGCAATTGAATATCCCCCACGTTCCCCTGATTAAACCGCGCCAGATTCTTATCTATGGGGATATTTGAAAGAAAGAGTTTACCGCAATAAACCTCGAACCTTAAGACAACTTATGGACAATATCATAATGGAAATTCTAGCCATAAATCGGGAAACATTGGAGGCAGTTATGGACAATGTCTTGGAAAGGAATGTTGTGTGTGCAAGCGAAAATGGCAGTCACTTACGCGACATTATTTTTCATACTTAATACGAAAAAAAACTCCAATGAATATATTTTATTTTTGTAAAAACTACATTAAAAAATATTAATAAATAAAAAAGTTATTAAAGTTTAAAGTAGGTCAGCTTCTTTTGGCCCACCCTGTATTTGTGTCCGATTTTGGAGTGGTTTTTTCTCAAGGAGATTTCAACGTTGTAAGTATAGCTTAATGACATTTTATAAAAATTTACATACAATTACCGCTGTAGTGTGTCCCGATAAGAAAACAAAGATTTTCGAATGCTCTACCTGAATAAAAGACAAACCTTGTGCTGAATTCCCTTGCGTTGGGACTTTAACCTCTATATTCTTGTACTTTAGCTTAATTCACTAACATATTGCTTCTAGAACAAGATTTTATCTTGAGTCACTACCTTGCATGCATAGGAGTCGTAGCGACGAATAATCTTAGTGCTATCGTCGTTGGCTTTTACGAGGTAAAAATGTGGCATTGGCATCTAAAGAAGATAGCCCGCGCAGCTTGTGCAAGTCTTTTATCAAAGATTTTGATATTCATGGCAAACCTACAAACGAACAAATCAACGTAGCTTTCGATCTGGAAACACTTCTATACAAGCTTGAACTCGTTCGAGCCATAGAAACTCTTGCTAAACAGGCCTACGGAGATACTGTCTTGTGAAGAGCCCGGGCTTTTGCGGTGGTTTAAGGGATTTTCAGAAGTGAGAGAGTCTATTGAAGATGAACCAGGAGGCGGAAGGGGTTCGTCTTCACCGATGAAGCTATCGACAGTAACCAGGATCTTGTGAGTGAAATTATAGGGAAAGAACTGAATTTGACTCACACTACTGTGCATCAGATCAAGGACAACTGGGTGTTACATCACTATAATGCTCTTTATTACACAGTAATGTCAATAAACGATATTTGGTCAGTAGAAATATTCCTGTGGCTCCTCAGCCTGCCTTATTTCTTTGTGACTTCTTTCTCTTCCTGGAGCTCAAGAATCACCTCAAGGGAACTCAGTTTGGGAATTAAAATGGCTGTAACGGATCAGCTGAAGGCCATTCCAGTTCCAGCACGGCCACGAGGAGTGAAAAAACCGCCTTCAGCGCTGTGCGGCTTCATAAGGAAGTTATTTTGAGGGTGGAATATGAACGTGTAATTATATATGAATAAACAAATTAAAAAAACCAGAACCCGTATAATCAAATAATGCTTGGCTTACTTTCGATTTAACGCAAACGAAATTCCTTGATTTACCTTCATTGTAATTTGTAGCCTGTTTAAGGTCCATCAACAGTCGCAACAGCTGGACAGCAGTCACTCACATACGGCTGTTTCCCTTTTAAACCTTTCTAGCTCCCATGTAAGGGCTGTATCACGTAATTGCGTTGATGGCGTTAACGTTTCTCTTTTATCCTCACCATCTAATTTTCCCTTGTCGGCGGTTAATGGCTCAAATATTTTCTGGTAGACTGGCACAGAGAATTAGACCATTAATTAATTTCGATTTCTGGAAACGTGGGTACCTATTGCGGCGTATTTTTTTGCTTGGTCCAATAAGCTAGGCATGCCGGTAGAATATATACGCTGGAAAAAAGGCTGTAAAGATCTATACAGGCTCATGTACTGTCTGCAAAAATCAAAAGTTCGCTAACAAACAACACATTGCCAGATTATGACATGCGATTTTATAAATATCAATAATTGTAATGATAATAGTAATAATAGTATTTATTGGCTAAAATGCAAATTATCATTATTCATACGTCAAAATACATTACCGAATGCATGGTAGGCTGACAAAACGCATTACCTTTTATTCGAAGAAAATTACTAAAATTGCTCATACCTTGTATCACCTGTTCCACTCTTAGTGCAAAGGTTTTGGCATAACTACGACGATTTTAATCTTTAAGGAAATACGGTGCCAAAATTCTTGAACAGATGCTCGAATATTAAACGAGGCTAAAGTCTCCTATTTGCGAGAGAAGCCTTCTAACTCGCTTCTGACTTCTCACGCCACACTGACGAGGAAGTTCTGTAACCAGGAAATAATTTTAACATGAGAGGTTATGTTTTTTGGCTGCTATATGATATGAACATCACGAGGAACCACGTCACATATTTCCACTTGTCTGTCTGTCGTCGTGTCTCTCTGTTCGCTAATCCTTGGGCTACATCTTGGAAACTTTCACACAAGCTCACTACTTCAGCCATGATGAGAAAGCTTTGTAGTTTTTGAAAATCTGTCCAATGGGGAGGTCCTACAGGCAAAAAAAAACGAAAAAAAGTCTCTTTTACGTTGCTTTTAGACGTTTCGAAGGATCCTGATCATATTTGAAAACTTTTGGGGTATAAAATGGGACGTGAGGATTGCACGAGGTGGGGGAAGGCGGGTCGCAATTTTTTGATGTTAATACACTTCCAACTAGATTTCCCCGTACATTTGCCCTTAAAACTTGGAAAAACATTTTCAGCAGACGGATTGCATATCGGTCGCATATACAGTAAGTCATGGAGTCATTTCTAAATACTCCATATTTTGTGCTTGATCCGAGCAAGCAAGCAGCACGGCTACATACGAGGTTTGCGCGATGTTATCTGTATATGAGCGTTATGCTTGGAGTGTAATACAATGATCGAATTAAGTCAGCGCAAAGCAAAATCGATCACTGTGGAAAGCGCATAGCTGCTATTAGTTGGAACTGTTAGGAATTTCAACTCGCGCCTAATAACAACGTCACCACGTGGCTGCTACATTGCTGACGATTCTGGTTGTAAAACAGATGTGGTTTACTTGCCATGTTTGGTTAATTCAGTGATGTTATTTGATCTCGTGACGAGATATTATACAGTATAGTATATAAATATTTATGAAGAGCTATTATAAGTTATCAAACATTATTGACAAGCAGTTTCACACCAGCGCTCCAAAAAATGAGGCTCTTGTGTACGGATACGTTTTTGCTAAAATCTGAGCAGGTTTTTTATGAAAAGCGCAAATAGGGTAGTAAAGATAACCAAAAAAGTTCGTGCGGTTTTTGTAGAAAAATATAAATTTTTATTGAGAAACAATAGGGCACTATTTATTCGTCGAAGTAATTACCATCATATTCAATGACTTTTTGCTAACGTGGAATCAATTTTTGTATGTCGGTTTTGCAGAACTCCCTGGATTTGGAGACAAAGAATTGGCAGACTGCATTAATTACACCATCTCGAGTTGTGCACTGAAGGTGCCTCATACAGTTGACAAGAGAAAAAAAAAGGTGATAATCACTGGGCGAAATGTCGGGAGAATATAACGGGTGCGGTAACGTTTCCCAGCCGAGTTCAGAAATTTTTTCTCGGGTCACTTTTGCGGTATGAGGCTTGATCAAAGAAGCCTGTTTGTACTCGTTGAAGCCGCCCACAATACAAGTTAGCAGTGACGGTTTTCCAAAAACTTATAATGGACAATTCCAGTTGTTGTCCATCAAACACACAACAAAACTTTGTTTAGGTGCAAGGAAGCCTTGGGCGTGTCTGGTATCGAATCAGTACCAATGCTACGAACGCTTAGAATTCGAATACAAGATCCATTTTTCGTCGCCTGTTAATAACCGATTAAGGAATGGTTCATTAGCGTTGCGTGTAATGTTTGCTGAACAAATGGTAAGATGACTCAATTTGTTATCATCTGTCAGTTCATGTGGGACCCATTTGCTCAACTTCCACGTCTTTCCTAGCTGATGGAGATGCAAACGATTTGTTTCAGGACTCACTCTGAACATTTCTACAAGTTCTTGTCACGTTGTCCTGGAATTTGCGTCCACAACCTGTCGAAGATCCTCGTTGTTCATGATTTTTGGTCTCCTTGAGCGCGGTTCATCGCCCAAACTGAGATCTCCCGAAGAAAATTTTTTGAACCACTTCTGTGCTGTTCGATAACTAACGGCATCATCTCCGAATGCGGTACATATTTTTCGCGCCGTCGCTGCAGCCTTTGTACCAAGTTTGTACTCATACAGTAAACAACTTCGAATTAGTTTTATTAGTCGCCGTTTTCAATTATTAAAACTAGATATGTAACAACTTTCAGCAACTTTTTATGTGTGTGAGAACAGAATCATTCATAGTAAAGTGAAAACACGTACCTAACAAACAATCGCTATCGATCAACAACATCCATGGCAATGTGCGATATACAGCAACCGCACAAACTTATTTGGTTACCTGATATTACTGGTTCTAAGAACACCTACGTCTTGTTGGTGTCAGTGCACTGCCTGAAAAATTTAACTACCAGTTGTTTCAAAGGCATGGGCAGTAAAGGTAAATTCAATCTACTTGACGCCATTTTTTTCATAATCACGTCTGTTCCTGCTTCTCATGTATGTTGCCATTAGCCCGGAGCAAACTTGTTTGAACATTTTTTTGAATTTCAAATGAACATTTTTTGACCCGGACAATTTTCTTTGTGTTTCTGAAAAATCAAGATTCTTAGTAACATTTTTCTATGGTTGAATATTTTCGAACTATAAGCGATTCAATGCTTGTGAAAAACTAAAAGTGCTCATTTTCCTGCCTAAAAACTAGGTTAACGGTTACTACTCTTGACGGGGCCATGGATCCAGATTAAAATCCAAACTTTCCCAGACCTTGAGAAGCATAGTTGATTTTAAAACAGTTTTTAATCTTGTTTGGCAGGCTAAAATTCGTCTATCAATTTGAGTATCGCACCCTGTCCTTTTACCCATACTGTATTTTCTGTACCTCATTTGGCTACCTTGTTGATATGAGTCCGTTTTTCCCAAATACAGCAATCTCACCCGTTCACTACTGTCACCCTTTTACTGCCACTACTGCTCTGCGTATCTTTACTTTTGAAGTATGAAAGAAACTCCACTCCATGACCTATTCTTCACAAGAAACTGCCTGGCAGATTGTATTTCTCCAAATCTGTCATTCACGAAGGAGATAAATCTAAATTCGCGGCGTCTAGAAAAGGTTGTTTGCGAACTTCAAACTTCTCGAGCGATTTCCGATAATACTGGGAGTTTCAAGGGCACGTCGTAAGTAAATATTGGTAAAGTACGGGGCGAACGCGAGGCTTTTTGAGCATTTTGAATTGATCGCACACTACATGTGGATATTTTATGTATACATAAAGTTGTGAGGTTTGGTAGAATTTAGTGAGAGGAGAGAATTGGAAAATTTGTTGTGACTCGATTGAGATTCAGGCTGTAAGGTTCTATTTGTACCACTATTCTTGACTTCAGTTCCTTTACATGAACTAGGGAATTGCTGAGACCATGGACATTTTAGAATATTCTTGATATTATATGCCTGTCTGTTGGCCTGTCTCTCTATAGGAGTATTTCCACCCTCGTTATCGATAGATGACTTCGCCGTTCTTGATAAATAACGGTCTCATGCAATGCTACTCCATTTTCGGAAATCAGTGCAGTGAAAGTGAGTTATTAATGGAAAATCAGAAAGTTTCGGATAGTTTTTACCTTTTTTACAGCTTCCTGATAATTTATTGCTGTAGTGAGACAATTTTTAGAATCGGGTCGGAATTTTCGAAACAGCCTTAAAGTTTGCTTTTCACGGCTTTTCAGGATTCTGAACACCATAAAGTCAAGCATTTTGTAAAATATGTATAACAATATTTTTATTTTCTAAATAATATACATCAACAATGCATTTTTGCATTTACACCTTGTTTCACAATAGACATATAACTGACTTCAATTCAATCTACTTGCACCACGTTTAACTTGTACGCATGAGCAATGGAAGTATTGTGATTGTGATAATGAAACTTCTATCACTATCCGATACCTTAACAAGTTTCTATTGAAATATGTCATGTGGGACCTTTCTAAAGATATAGGGGTTGCTTACATAATTCCACTGGAATTTGGATTTATTTCTCTAGATAGCCGATTAGTAATACTAGATAATTCAACGAAATTTTGACAACATAGTAACTGTGTGGGGCCTCGCGTAGTTGTCTTTATAGAAAACAATTAAATCGTTTGGCTATCCAGATCTAGATACCTAATCTGCCTAATTCTCTTAACAATGGTTCAAAAATGATATTGTTGGAAAACGTGATGCTTTATAAGAAAATATGTACTGCTGTTTCATGTAAATAAAATGAACCGTTGTAGAGAAAGATAGTCTTGTTTCGGTGTAGTTTTATCAATTATGATGCTGCATCTAATATACGTGATCCCCTATTTTGAAAATACGAGGGGGAATAAAAAAACAACCGGAATTATTTTTTAAAAGCAATGTATTTTCAACTTTTTCACAAGTAACCTTATTTCCTTCAAAATACTGTCCACTACAACTAATACACTTGTCCCACCGGTGCTTTCACTGCTCGAAACATTTTTTGAAGTCTTCCTTAGAAATGTCTGACAGCTCCTCCCTAGTTTTTTTCTTGACCTGTTCAATGTCGTCAAAGCGGCGTCCTGTTATACCCCTGGTCATCCGTGGAAATAAGAAAAAGTCGCACGGAGTCAGGACAGGCGAATAACGTGCGTGAGGCAGCGGAACCATGCCATTTTTAGCCAGAGACTGTCGAACGCTGTGTGCGCAGGCCCATTATCGTGGTGGAAGAAGCAGTCTCCTGACTGACACAAATCGGGTCTTTTTGCCGAACCCTGTTTCGCAATCGTCTTAAAACCACCAAATAGCACAAGCTCTCGAATTTCTTCAACATTTTCGTCGATTCGGGCAGTTGATGGACGTCCAGAGCGAGGTTTGTCATCAATCGACATGTCGCCATTTTTAAATCGAGCAAACCACACGTACACCTGAGTTTTTCCCATAGCATCATCTTTGTAAGTTATTTTCAACATTAAAATAGTTTGGGCAGCATTTTTACCAATTAGAAAGTCAAATTTCACAGCTGCACGTTGCTCACTGAAGCTTGCCATAGTAAAAAACGAATCAAGCACGAAACAGCTCTATCAAAAACAATGACTACAGAGCAATGAAACAAGCCAGATCAACAACTCAGGTGGCACTGAACTGGTAATGAGTTGCACTGTACGCCTCTAGGGACAGAAAAGTGTACTACACAAGCTCCGCCCACTGCAATGCTATTCCGGTTATTTTAGGGTACCTCCTCATTCTGATGACATGTTAGTTAGCAGTGACCAGAAAAACCTAAGGCTGTGAATCTTCAAATCACATAACCCGATTGTACATTTTTGTGGCGTGAGCCGAAAAAGTAGTGATGAAAGGATACCGATTTTCTCAAGTATGACTTATTTCTATTTAGAAAACAATAAATTTTCTTAGTTAAAGGACTAGAGTTCCCTGAAATATCATGTTTTAGTAATTATTAGTGGGGGAAGAAAAAATAAACAATGTTGCGTCTGGACCAATCTGGGGGACTTTTCAGTACAAACTTTAAATTTTAAACTCGGTTTTATCAAGTCTTTTTACCTTTTGATTGTTTTTACGTTTGTCTTACTTTCGTATAGTTTGTTGTTTTACTTACTCTTTTATGTCGTACTCTAACTGACCTGTGCAAACGCATTTTTGTATAACAGTAGCAATAAGTTATTATTATTATTATTATTATTATTATGCGAAAATGATATATCTCATGCAGGTGTGAGGCTCCAATTTCGTGTCTTTCAGAACTGACTCTAGAAAAACCTATTGTTAGTTGCGTTCTTCAGAAACGTGTATCTCCACAGGTGAAGGTATGATAATTTTACTTCCCACATCACGAAAAACCATGTCCATCATTTAATTGGAAAAAATGTTCACACAAGCTTACTAATCTGCTAAGGACGACAAAGCTTGAAAGTTTTTAAATATTAGTCCTGCGGAGGTGGAGATACGGAGCAAAAAAAGTATACTCGTACAATAAAACAGAATTTGCTCAAGCTTTGACGTTGAAGAGGCTCCTGATGATTTTCAGAAAAATATTTCTAGAGGTTCAAAATTATGGATTAAAGGTTTTAAGGGTCGGGAAGCTTATGTCTCAATTTATTGATCATCCTCCTTGACAACATTTGTTTGTGGGAGCTTGTGACGTTATCATTTTGTATTCTGTATGTATCCGGAGAATCACAACATACTCTGGGTTAGCTTATGCAATGTATTACAAATGAATTCTTACAAATACTTTTATGACAATAGCAGATTACAATTTGAAAATTTCGAGCTTTGGCCATTTGATTGCCATCAGGCTGTTTGAGAATTTGAAGCCCTAGATCGTTAGAAAACCAGCATCGTACAGATGGCGACACATTGATAAATCCATTTGTTAATATAAGCGCGCAGAATGTATGTAGGTAGAAAGACGAGAGCGAGAAGTGGATCCAAGGAAGGCTCGTAAAATATGTGCGAGATGGCGACTAGATTACACGAGAGGTGAGGACAGGGTCGATGGGATGCTTCACAACAGCGCGCATACTAAAGCAGGCCATGGAGGAAGACCAATAAAGAGTTATTAATAGGGGCGAAATGATACATGCTCGTGACATTATTGAGGCGATCTTACGAGGAAATTATTTTGTTTTAGTACCGTTAGTTAATTGTATTCCGAATCCCAAGTAGGAGTTTGTACCAACATGTACCAAGATGCGTCGGTTTGACAATAGGCAGATATCTGAGAACTACTAGAGATACATGTTACGTGTTCCTGTCACTAATGACACAACGTTTTAAGACGGACAGTATTTCCTCCTACTACAGCTAGTTGGTTGCCGAAAAGTTGGTACGACCAGTTTGCCGTCCCCCATGCGTTGCGCTCAGGAAAGAAAGTTTTCAAATTATGGTAGGTAAGCGTTTACAAACCGGTTCCAAAGAGAAACAAGAATAAAAAACAAAAATGACACACTCATGCAGCAATATCGGTGTGGTCGATGTTGTTTTAATTTATGGTGAGTACTTTCGAAATGCTACCGAGGCTTCACGTGTGCATGCAGATCGTTTTTCAAGATCCTTCGTGATTTCCTTCATCGGAGCGAAATGAAATGTTTAGTGTACAAAATACAGTTGTCAAAGTACGGGCCTTCTCTAATTACTTTTGCTGCCATGGAAACCAACTAATAGATTCAGATCAAAAGAAACGGACTAGCCCTAACGCAATATTGATATTTTTTAGATTCCAAATAATAATGGCTTAGAAATAATATAATGTTAGAGAAATACATTTTTGATTTAATTTTGATAACATGATTCAATACTTAGGGCTTTCACTCACCGGAACGCCATAGTCATCCATAACTAAGCTAACCTATCGAAATATAGATCTTATCGTCCTTCGCCGCTATTCGCCAAGTCGGGGAGCTGCCATATACATGGTGTTTCAACCGTGCAATGAGGGTGTATTGCTCCTAAACCAAAACTTCCCACAGACAACTAATGATCAGTTATTATATATGGTTTCTGAGAGCATATTCTTATAATATTCACAAATATTCAGGATGCTCCAATTTTGTTCTACGTATCAAAGTTGCCTCCGTTTTTTAAGAAAAGCCTTAATTTTTACGTATCGCATACTTATGGATTCTGACTATTAGTCGTAGAGGAATTAGATATTTCATATGAAGGCGTTAAGTAGGTTGACTCTGTATTTTCCAATCAAAGCTGTAATCATACAGGCACAAGTTAGACCCTCGTTTGAAAAAGGTAATTAAGAAAATGCATTTTATTATTATTATGGTTAAAGGAATCCCGTGAATCAAATCAAATAGGCCCATATACAGTTAGTTTTCAGTCACCAACCATTTGGAAACATTCCGATGCAATCTCACAGTTGTTGTGGGTGTGATATGTGGCAATAAACACCTGATTCTCAGGCTCTCTTTTATTGGTTCAATAAGAAACTGTAACGGCATACAGAAATTCGTCAAGTATCGCCAAGCGCATGATTCAATTTTTGCGTTACGGCAACGGTACGGCAGTGGTGCGGATCGTCGGAGTTTATGAATATACAAGGTCTACCATTTAAACTTTTGAGAAAAATTTAAACAAAGGATGAATTAGGTCAAAATTGACCAAATAATTTTTTTTTACACAAAATCCATTACTCCGTCTTTCAAGGTAGCAGTCAATCTTTGGTGTTTTTTATATAAAATACCTAATAGCTCAGCAACTAATATTTAAAACTCATAAGTACGCGTTATCAATACTCTTCTATTATAGAGACCTATACGAATATAATAAAAAGGTAGGGTATACTGTTTGACAGAAATAAACTTTGATATATGGATCAAAATTGGGACGCCCTGTGTAATTGTGAATATAGTTGATTGGATAGTCTTCTTTGAAATGTTTTTCTCCAAAAGCAATGCTCCGCCCTCGCACACCAATAGAATTGCAACAATTTAAACTGCAGTCGGTCACAAGAGAGTTCGAAAATACCTCAATCCGTCCCTGACCAGCTAAACAAGCTCATCGTTTTCTACTGGTGGGTGATCCGTTGGTTTCTTTTTTAAATTGGTATTAAAACTATACTCTTCAATAATATGTAACACTCGATACTTCACTCAACAGAATACACCTTCCGATTATTTATGAGAAACAATTTCACTTAAATGGCTTCCGCGGCTGGCCTGGCAGTAGTCAATACTCTTAACGCAATTTTGAAGCACATTTTCGATAATTTGTGGGTCTATTTCATCAATAGCTCGACGAATATTTTCCTTAAGAAAATCAATTATTTGAGGATCGTTAGTGTAACAGCGGTCCTTAACAGTACCCCATAGGAAGTAATCCATGGGCGTCAAATCACAGCTTCGGGCTGGCCACTGAACGTCTCCAAAAAGGCTGATAACGCGATGACCGAACTGAATGTGTAAAAGATCGATTATTTCACGGCTGGTGTGGCATGCTGCGCTTTCCTGCGGGAACCAGAGATTGTGCATGTGCATGTCGTCTAATAGTGGTCACAAAAAATTCCTCAACATGTCCCTGTAGCGTTCCCCGTTTATCGTCACGCTGTTACCATCTTCATCTCGAAAAAAGTAGGGACCAATAATCCCACCACTCCAAAACCCACACCAAACAGTTACTCTTTTTGGACGCAATGGTTTTTCTATGACATGTGGTTTTTCAGAACCCGCCCAAATCCTACAGTTCTGCTTGTTAACGTAACCTCCCAGATCGAAATGGGCTTCGTCCGAAAAGATGATTTGACGACCAAAATTGACGTCCGTTTCCAATTGATTTAGAGCCCACACAGAGAAACGATATCGTTGCACCTTGTGTTATGCCATATTCTCCGCACAGAAGTGCGACTGACGCCCACTTGTGCTCTGTGACGAGTTGACATTCTTGCGTTTTCACGCAAACTCTGGGCAACAGCAGCAATGTTTTCGGCTGTACGCAGGGATCGAACACGCTCATACCTTCTGTTATCCACAAGCAGGACAGTTCCATGAACCTTCTTCACGAATTTTCGTATACCAGTCGCGGACGGAGCTTCACTCCGACCAAATTAATAGTCTTCTCAATTTTCGCAAAGTTTCTGCAACACAGCACTCACTTTGACACAAGTTTGACACGATATATATGTCAATGTGTTGAACATGTTAGTCTAACCAACTGTCAAAATAATGCGTACTCAAAAAACCAACTGATGGCCCTTTATGAACACAGTCATATGAGGCCCCATAGGTACTTATTTTGTCAAAAAATAATTATTGAGTTATACAGTTTCCGTAAAAGCTACTTAAGGAAAACCGATTTTCAGTAGTGTCTCTTTGGGGTATGCATTTCCACAAGATAATTCCGTATGATATTCTTAGACAAATTTGCGCATTATTTTTGGATTCTATATGTGTTTATTCTGGGACATTCTGTGCAAATTGGCGCATTTTGAAAAAATATGTTGTGGAATAAACTTTCGTTCATTCTGCTTTTGTAGCTGTCATTTCAAAATATTTCAGACTTATGAGTTTAAAACTTAATAATTATATACTTGCTAACCAATAGGTTGATGTTTCATTTTTATTTTTTTTTGAAACTGGAAACTTCAACGTACGGTAATTACAGAGTCCGTTACATAGCTACCAAAAACAAAGCGTTGCTATGCAACCTGTTTCTGATAGACCAAGAATATTATGTAATACCGGATAACGTTTCATTTTCCAAGTGTGAAAGAGGCGCAATCATAGACCTTCAAACATCTGGCAGCAACGAGTCTCAGACGAAACAAATTATTATTGGATATTTCTAATCTCTGCGTATGTCGGATGAGTTTTCTTATAATGGTCCTAAGTAGCCAAATGTAGTCAAATGATTTAGTTCATGCACCCAATGGAACATTTTTTGTAGCCGACAATCATCGCGTTATTGCAAATATACGCCTAAAGTGCTTCACAAAGTGTTTAAAGGTTGCTTCTCCAGAAAGATCAGCGATGGCATATTCTTGGTTTTCTACTACAGTTATAGATTATATACTGATGTCCTTCATTTCACTTTAAAGTAGCAGTCCCTTGAAAAACAACCATTATGATTGAAACAACTATAATTTTACTGGTCTAACAGTCGACACGCATCGATTTTTTCAAGACACGTGCGCTGCCAGCTAGAGCTCTACCAGACCATAACGATTTCACCAGTATACTATATTGATTATTTCCCACTTGCTTACGTATCGTCGCTCCTAACATCATGACACACATATCTCTGTCAAAATATATACAAATGTACTAACGATTTTGAAGCGACAAATCTTTTATGTCTACTAAAAAGGTAAGTGTACCAATCTATGGTTATTGCTTTTTATAATGAAGATTTGAAATTTCAGGATGGCATTAAAGTATCCAAGACTCCAACAATCAAACAGAGCTCATCCAGACTGGTTACTAAAGTTAGAGAAGATAGCGCAGATCGAAAGCATGTTAAGAAGGTGGAAGACCAGATTAAAAAATTGAAGCCACCAACAACTTTGCTCAAACAAAAGAGTGTAGATGCTAACCGGCCTCAACCAACGAAGTCTAATTTTAAGCTGAAAAGTGCAAGTGGGACATCCAGTGAGGAAACCAAGTTGAAAGTAAAACGTAGTGTAGCGGGAGTGTCAAAAACTAGATTTTTTCCAAATAGTAAAGCTATGATCTCGAACGCGCTGAAGGATGGTGATACAGAGGTTGCAAAAATAAGTGGCTCAAAAGTGAGTGGTAAAGTGGACACCGAGATGGCGAAAGTAAAAAGCTCAAGCAGAAAGGAATCAAATTCAGTTTCTAACAAGAGCATCTCAAAGATCAGTAAGTCTGGAAGTAATAGTCATACTTCGAACAAAAGAGACGCAAACGAACTAAAAGGAAAGACAAGTAGCACTGCGACAAGATCAAAAGTTAACAGCACACCTGTTCCCAAACAGAAACAGTCTGATTCAGATTGTAGCTCAATTTCAAGCAGATATGAGATGAAAAGTATAGCAAAAGTGAAATCGACATCTAAAGACACTTCAAGACAAACATATTTAGATTCAAATAGCGATATAATGTCAGAACGACCAGGTACTGCAACTTTGAGGAAAGGTAGGCTAGTCAACACAAACATAGTTGGACCAGAGGTTCCTGAGGAATTAGTACCAAAGTTAGTGAAAGAACATTCAATGCTGCTTAAACCATTTGAGTTTAGAAGTGAGTCTAAGTCTAAAGGAAAGTCAGTATCCAGGAAAGAAACCAAAGGCTCTAAAACTAAACCAAATGCCAACGAAAAGAGTCCAAACTCTAGTGCCGGTTCAAGACATAGCTTAAGAAATGCCAATTTAGAAATTCCATCAACTTCTAAAACAAAACTAAAAGACAAACCAAGTGATACCGAAAATGAACAAATCGTCACACCAATGAACTCTGAAGGTAGTCATAAATCAGACTCCTCAAATGAGCGTGATTACGAAGACGATTTTAATTCCTACGAGTCCGATTTTGAGAAGTACTCTTCCTCTAGCAGTTCTCTCCACGTGCCTGATATATCGGGTGAAGATACTAGTAGTATAAGTAGCAGTGAAGGTAACTCTCCCCTGGAGCTCACATCTGCTACTAAGAGATTGAGCTCTGCAGGTACTGATGAAGACAAACAAATGGATTCAGGGCACTATGATATGCCAGATTATAAACATAAGCAAATCCTGGATAACATCAAAGAGTTGGTGGAGAAAGAGAACGCTAATTTGGATGTTCAGAAAAATAATACAGCTTCGCTCTCTGATGAAGGGTTTGAAGATCAGAGGTCTCTCCAATTTATCAACTTCTTGGATGCTCAAAAGAAAACTATACGAAGACGAAGCATGGAGATAAGGAAAAAGCGAGGAGAAGAGATTTTAAGTATGATCAAGTTAGATACCTTCAGTTATACCCTTTTTGATTTGACTCCAGTGCCTTACGAAGTGTTCATAAAGAACTATGGGAGGACTAATACAGTGCAGAGTGCAACTCAAACTGGTGATGATGATATTGATGAGGAAATACAAACTGATAATATTAGTGTTGATATGAAATGGACGCAAATTCCTGTTTGCTTCTCTAAGCTAAGTCTAGACGAGCCCAGCTTTTGGAGAACATACAAAAACGAATACCTAGGAGTAGGTAGCGAATATACTGTTGAGCCAAATTTAGTGAAGAAGCCATGTAACGAGCATTATCTGAATAAGTTCCTGCTCTCTGCTGGAACTTTGATCACCAAAATATTGGAAGAACGAGACTCTGAGAATATTAGTAGTCTAAAGAAGAACTCGCGAGATTTGCCTTTCAGTGATGGGTATATTGCATTTAACACAACCAAGAGCGCTCTTAGAGGATCTAGCGTGGACTATATTTCTTTCGGCTGTGATAATAATAAAGTTTTTGCGACTGTACATACTCAAAAGGATAAGCACATGTATGTTATAGCTATTTGGAGAGCATATTCTGAGGAACCTAAGTTAGTTCTAGAATCCTATAGTGCAATATCATCGTGCTTAGTTGACCTTAGCTCCTGTTTTGTATATGGTGGACTTTACGATGGGTAAGCGATTTCACTATTCTCAATCATAGGAAATGGATCATAGTAAACATATAGTATAACTCATAAAAATGAAACAAAATGTCAATTTTAGGCAACTACACTAGGAATATGTAATCATGGCCATAGTTGTAAGATATAATCCCTTAAAGCTGTCTAGCTATTGGATAATTTGGCACTAAAGTTTAAGCAATAATCGTAGTATGACTATATAGTGCTTTGCAAAAGGACCCTTCACCAACAATTTTTTGAGTGGGGCAAAAAATTCGGGGTAATCAAATTTATATGTGCATACTATAGTTTAGGGGAAACGTGACAGTTGAAAATTTCGAGACGGCGCGGCGGGTAGGCGAAACAGGGGTCATGTGATATCTCATTTTAAAGCTCTTTGTGAGTATTTTATAGCCCTTGAATATAAAATGGCAAGCTGGCAGTCGATCACAGTTGAGAGTCTTTGCACATTGAGTCACTTATAACTCAACAGTCAATCATCAGAGCGCTCTAGTATCTTACATCGACCTTCTTCTCTTGGAAAGGTCTATTCGAATATATAACAAAATATGAAACCTATTCATAAAAAAATGTCAAAATCCGTCAATTTTTTTTAACCTGAATGTCTCACATTTTATTGCACATTCAGATAGACCGTTCCAAAAGAGAAATATTGACTTAACATGCTATAACATTTTGTTGATTAGTTTTTGAGTCATAAGCGAATCGATATACAAAAACGTTCAACTTCCACAGCTTCTCTGTCCATCATTTTGCGAGATAGTAATTAATATGCTGAGGCCTGTGCTTTAAAATAAGGTCCCTCATTACAATTTGAATAATGTTTCAAAATATCGCCCATCTTGAAATGCTCAACTACGATTGTTACGTTAAAATATAGTATTTACGCGTAAATTTCGTTATTATAAATTTAAGTTTGCTAACGTGACCCGTTCAAAGAATAAGTCTGGACGATCTTTCTGAATAGCTCTGAATTTACACTAAGTACTACTCTTCTGCTTCTGTCAATGGATTCCTCTGGGAAGCAGGGTATTCTTTCTCTAGTAGAGATCTTTTGATCATTTTTGAAAGGTAGCTAATATAATTTTCGGAATTTCAGTGCAATTTTGATATGGAATACAAGCCCAACCTCAAGAGATGTACCAAGCCATATTCCTGTTTATGTTACAAGTGTTGGATTTGGTCACCACACAAAAATAGTTGCCATACAACAGTTATCTGATTCACCTGCTGGTAAAACGTTCTTATCTGCCAATTCATCATCAAAAGAGGTAACTTGAGCTTCTGTGCTATCATGATACCTACGAAGATAGGAACATGTTTACAAGCTTACGTGATTTTTCGCATAGTTTATCCATCACAAGCCGTTTTATTCATTTTAGATCTGTTCACTAGATGAAGATGGAGATATAATACTATGGAGGGTCGTAGTGAAGCAAAGTACGTATAGTTCCAAGTCACCTGGAGCAGATTGCAAAGAAGTTGTGCTGGTGAAAAGTACACACGTATTATTAAGAAGCATGTATCCAGACATATCAGATCTCGTCTGTACTGACTTCGTCTTGGACACATCGAACAACAACTATGCTTTTATTTCGACTAATTATGGTTTTATCATACATTATTTCATAAAAGGTGGAGGAAATTCCGTAAGGACATTTCAGCCTGGTAAGTCTCGCCATCAATGCTAAAATTTGAACAATAGTGATAATAAATCTTAAGATTATATATCAAAAGACTCAATTTCTGTAATTTGTTGTTGTTTGCTAGACAAATTAATAACCTGAAACTAGTACCGTTGATTTTATGCTAATAATCTGACTGTTAATTAAAGCCACATTCATGTTTGAACTACAGTAAAAAGTAATTCAATTACAGTCAGTAAAAAGTCCTTCAAGTGGATCGTTTCATATGTTCGAGAGTTTTTGCGTCGGAAAATTATGGAGCAAAATATATCTAACATTAAAACAGGGAATAGTATTTAGCTTTTTTCGCTCATTTTCGAGAATATTGTTTCAAAATTTCAAATTGATCGGAGCATAATTGATGAGGCTATTGGTATTTCGTTGCACCAAACTGATTTTCTGGTACCAGCCGAGCACAGCAACACGTATTTAGATGCCATCAGATGTTCTGTGGGAGCCGTGCTTGTGGTTTCCTCTCTGCCTCTCTCCAATCTATTCGCCTGTCGGTCATCTCTTGGTGGAACTACTCTTTGGCTATAGTAGATCAGTTTAAAAGTGTGAAACTTTAAAGCGATTTTCTGAGACTTGTAGTTTTTTAATTTGGTGTGCTCAGCTCAAAATCAAATGCACTTATTTCTTTGAAACTGGTTTAGCTCTAAATCAGCAGATAATCACTTTTTTTTCTTTTTCCAATTATTTTTGTTCTTTGACAATGAAATATTTGTCGATGTTTTACCAAAAATCATGTTTTTAACTTCCGGGAGCTAAAAAAATTGTCACAATTGAAAAACAAATAAAAACTTGTGGTTACCACAAGAGACCTCTTGCCTGATAAACCAATTTTGATTGTTTTGATCCCGATCGATAGGGTTATTACGTAAAAAAACCATATAACGTCAAAAAGAAAACCGACAAGATGTCAACCTGTTGACTAAGTAGGCTAGTGTGCAAATAGTTCAGTCCGCGCTTGCTACAGGTGAGAACGATGTGATCGACAGTTAGTCACAAGCTGACGTCTTGTAGGAAAACCTACATAATGCCATAAAAACCCTACATAATGTCAAAAAATGGTTCTTAGTTGAGTAAACTACGATTACTTATATCGAAAAAACAATTTTGAAAATACGCCTTTCCTTCACGGAATTCACTTACCCCCTAACCCCCAAACCGATTTCTATTAAAAAGGCCGCCTTAGTGATCTAAAAAGCAATCCTTCATTAGGACTTATTAGCAATCTTTGACTGGGTTACCACCCATATCCCCTAAACAGCGTAACCGATTTCCATTAAGCATAGCTAAGAACCATCTCGGGAGAGAAGACTTTCGAATTGAAAACTGCACTCAAATCGGTTCGGGTGCTACAGTGCGTCGAAGTTAAGAAACCTATATCCTATATATCTGTTACATTTTTTAAGACAAAAAAAGGATTCAATGGACCCAGTTAGTCAAACAGGCTCATACAATCAAAATTTGCGTATCTAGCATGCTTTTCTGAACTATTTTGGAGTTCCTTAGGATTTAGCTCCCTGAGAAGATATGCTACCCCTCGTTTCTCAAAAAGTTTTGGATAGCGCTTCCCCTTCCTCTGAGGAAAATTCCAGTGGGCGCACATGATCGAAACTATGTGTACATCCTGCGAGGATGATCAACACGCGAGGGTCCTCCTGCATTCTAAGTCTAAAGGATCAATTTACGGGGAAATACATAATGAGTGAAATATATCTAATGAGCCGTATTCATAAAACAAAGGATATCCTTGTACTTGCAAATTTTGAAGGAAATCCTCCAGATGGTATTTATAATAATTTGACGTAAATGCTTTTGCTTTTTGAGTATAAGCATATCCTTCAAAGCAGTGACATAAGTAAGACGATATTCTTAATCTTCACCTTATACTTGGCAAAGGAAGCATATCCTTCAAAAATTCTGAGTGTGGTCAGTAGCAGAGTCAACTTCGTAATGAAAGGTGGTCAAACGATGATGGCGGAAATTGTGGATGTTAGGGATGTTAAAACATACAAACCTCGTTTACCTTCTCTTGGTCGTGAATTATATCGGCTCGACAAAGCAAATGTACAATGCTTGCGGACAGATTTTTAGATGAGAATGAGGAAACTCGAGGAGCAGCACTTTCATGTATTCATAAAATGAAGATATGTCTCCGCTATCTCGGTGACCCTGGATATCAACAAGGTCAGGATCTTGGTGTTAGTCAAGCAACGGTATCTGGGACTGTGGACAGAGTTGTGAACAGCATAGTTGCACAGTCGAATGAATGGATCAAGTTTCCAACTACCAACCGTGAACTGATGGAGGCCAAGCGGATATGGCAAAGCATGTATAAATTTCCGACAGCAATTGGTGTAATTGATTGTACACATATAGGATTCCTAAAACCAAATCGCCATGAAGATGAGTATATCAACCGAAAAGGGAAACCTACGTTAAATGTGCAAGCCACTTGTGATGCCAGAGAGATGGTCACAAGTGTTGATGTCAGTTGGCCTGCATCAGTGCATGATTCCAGAATATGGAGAAATTCACAGACTAGATGACAACTAATAAATAAAGCAAATGTTGTACTACTTGTCGATGACGGTCATGGTATTGAGCCATGCCTTATGACTCCCTTCACAAATCCTACTCCAGGTGCAGAAATAAATTATAATAGGCTTTCAAAACAAGAAAGAGTTATAATTGAACGCTGTTTCGGCCTACTGAAATGCCGGTTTTCTATCCTACAGTATGTTTGCTGCGTAAAGTTGGGAAATGTGCCGAAAATAATTATTGCTTGTATTGTACTCCATAATATTGCGAACAGCTTGGGCGATTCTGACTTTGAGTTAGTTGAACAAGACCCAGATGAAGATGAAGGAAATCATGAGAATCACGAACTTCCTCTCCGCCAAATAGGTCAACAAATAAGAAGAAACTTGAGTATTATAATAAATAGGTTTACTGCATTTATAAGTCATAATAATATGTTCTATTTTCGTGAACATCATAAGTTACAGGTGGCTTCTGATGCTGCATTATTTCTAATTTCGTTTTATAATACTCTTGTTGTAAAATACTTGTTTGGTACTGCTGTAATAGCACTAGACGTTGCAGTTCTTTGGTTTCCTCAGTTTGGTATTTCTCTGTTGCTAATTTTCTTTTTGGTGGCAATATCTTCTGAATTGCTGGCGCAGTAATACTAACTGTTTGCTCACTGCGGCCCGGTATATAGTTCACTTCCGTCTTCTCGAACACTGCCAACCTGAATGGCACCTAAAATTTTCCCAATTGTAGGATTACAGTCACCTTCCATAGCCTTCAGCAACTTCCTTTCCCAATCTAACAATTAAATTGCTTTATTAGCAGTTTTTTTTATCTGTTTTTTTATTTAATCTTGATTTCATGTTGTTGATTTTGTTTAATAAGCTTTTAGTATCTAATGGTTTACCGAATGTGTATTTTTCCAACATCTTCTTTAACGCACCGTCCACTCTCATTTTTATTTTTGGAACTTGTGACTCTTGCAAAATAATGGGAGGAATGGCAATTTCATTTGCGATGAACTGCAGTCCAGTGATGCTTAGTGAACGAACTCCCACTTCAACTACAAACTGGAACAAGTAAGGACATGTCGCTCAAGATACAAATACCGGTCAACCTGTTACTTCTTCTTGGAGGATATCTTCGCGAGTATAAGGTAATCATTATGAATATGAAAACCAAGATATGCTTATACTTCCACCTTTTTCTCCGAAGCAAGACCTTATACTTTTACCTTATGCTTCCGAAGATATGCTTCTCTTTCATGAAAACGGCTCATTAGGTGTGAAGATTTACCGTAGCTGGATAAGTACATCAAGGTCAAACAATTTAAATGTGCTCTAAAAAACGGAATAAATCATATTCGAAACCTTTCGCGATTACAGTACTTCCTCGCCAGTAGTGTCTTTGTAATTGGAGTACTCTTGAATCTTGCAACTGCAAAAGTTGTTTTTTTTTCAAAAATGATAGCTCACTTCGCCAAAAGCAGAAAATATCACCTTTTTTATCTGGTAGTCCAGTTTTTTGCAATGCCGTTTTTGTACTGTACGAGTCAAATATTCTGAAAATGTCATCCGCTTGACTTTGAATTCACAAAATCTTTGAGATATACACTAGGGTGTGTCAAAATATATAGAGAAAAAAGCGTTATTTGCATGTAACAGTAGCCAGCAGTTGTGTTTTGATAATTAGTTGTTTACATTGACTAGCGTATCAATGGTTATAGACAAACCAATGTATAAACACGCTGAACTTTGGCATCCTGCCTGTCCGCCATTTATAAATATAGTGATCTTACGGTTAAGGGTTACAAAGAACTCAAAACGAGCTTCAAATTGAGGTATCACACCCCCCATTCTATTCAGAAGAATATTGCAAGACAACGTCAACCGCCAGCTTGAGATTTTTATCTATTACTTTCAAGTTAAAACATAGCATTTCACCACTATATATCTTTCTAATTTCAGGAAATGATTCAACAGCGAATTGCCTTGAGGTCTGCCCATTCTCCTCCGACTTTCTGCTAGCAGGTTTTACAGATGGCAACATCAATCTGTATTCAAAACTAATAGGCAAGCCTCTGATGGTTCTATCAGATAAGGAAAGTAGTGTGAACGACAATAGTATTCAATTAATCCAATGGTCCAAAACCAGACCTTTTGTGATCTACGTGAAAGACTCTGCCAACAACATTCACATATGGGATTTGAATGAAAGTGATATTTTCCCAATCTATTCAGTTCCTTTCCAGAAGAATATCACTTGTCTGAAGCTGTGTCCTTCCGTTGAGGGAAGTGAGAACAGCAATGCTTTTCTGGTGAGTTGAAAATATGGAATGGTATGATTAATTTACTAACCACACTTTTCGTCGCAGCTTGCTACTTTATTACGTTAAACTAATAGAAAATTGTAGGACACCTCATGGAAAAACGAAGTAAACGAAACCGTAAAAAAAATTTGGTGTCGGAAATGGATCAGGGAGAGAGACCGGGGAACGAATGGGCTCCTGATGCTGAATAAAGAACCTCTAGTGGAGGATCCACTGGCTCATAGGCCTAATTTGTTTATAGTCATTCTGATTTTATCCAACGGAGCTTATTTGGCGTTACTGTTTCTATAAGCCTAACTTTTTACAGCGTATAAACAATCATATATCTCATACTCGTTTAGTAGTATGCCACACTGCTCTTTTGACCATGACATCTTTCAAGTTTTTAATCTTTAAGTAGAACAGCATACAGCATAAGCAGGGGAATTTCGCGAACACAACTGATCACAACAATGGATGAAACTGCTAGGGTTAGGCTTGTTTTTGTCAACCAGTTATCATCCCATTTAATCGTCACAAAACATCAAGAGAATATGAAGGAGTTGGCACAAAACGTATAATTCCTTGTCACGTAGCGCTTCTATTAGCCATTGTACTACTCCAAGTGCGCAGTAGGCGTCTGCTCACTTTTAGCATGCTATTATTTAGAACAGGTTCTAAAATATTTAGCACTCAATTTTTTTATACAAAATTATGTACTAAATGCTGTCTGGCCTTAAGAGTATAGTCTTACTGGCTTGTGGTGTTCAGACTTATCAAACCAGACCTCATAACAATTAAACTTCTCTCGTAATTCTCTCTACATCATATCAGTTCTCAGACTTCTTACATACTTATTTGTTATAGAGTAACGAGACGTTTTCCTGGCGTAAACTTGCAATGTAGCATCTTCAACTTGAACAATGTTGCGTTTTTAATAACCAACATACGTAGATTAATGTTGACATACATTTTGTAAGAGTGACTCAGTGTATCGTAGTTCTTCACACGTGTGCTGAAAAAAACTCATACAAAACTCACTCAAATCTTCGATATTCCTGGCCACTTTTATATCAGATACCATAAGTAACTATTGATGTAATGTATAAATCTACTAAAGCTGACAAAATTATTAGTACACAGTTTAAGGAGCCTAATTTTTTTTATTGTGTACGATATTCTTCTCTCGAAGCTACCATTTCACTCTTTCGAGTAGTATTTCGCTGCTTTTGGAATCTTACCCGTCAAACAAAAATTCTTGGAATGCAATGGCCGCAAATTCTCAATCGGCCCAGCTTTGCATAGTGTTCAACAAGGATCCGTCCTCGGCCCATTGTTATTCTTATTATACCTGTATATATAAATGATAAGCTAATTTATGTCGACGACACAACTCTTGTTTCGACTCACAATTGAATGATGCGGCTTATGCTTGTAAGTCCGACGTTCTGGATTGGTTTGCAAGCTATGAGTTTACAGTGAATTTAGACAAAAGTCAATCCATAACCATCGCTTTGAGGAATAATGGTGTTGACAATAACCATGTGGAGAACTATTTAATTCGTTATCTCAGAAATTCTGTAAACCCAAAAAGTTTTGCCATTTTCATGGTAAAATGACGTAAAATATCCTAGCATGGGGTCATTCGCTACATATGAGTAGAGTTTTTGCTTTGCAGATGAGGTGTGTTAGGTACATGGCAAACTTTAGGTACAAAGGTCCCTGTAGCGAAGAATTCATAAGACTAAGGATCATAACATTGCCTTGTGCTTTCACTTATTACTGCCTCACTCATGCGAAATCAAAATCTATCACTTATGCAGCACACTATCCATTCATAAAATACTCGAAATATTTCAAACTAATTTAATTTATTACATGAAATATCACAGAATCACTAAAACCAGAAATGGCGTTAAGTTTCCTGGCATGAAACTTTTCAATGAATTCCCTTATCACTTAGGAGCTCTAGATATTGATGATATGATTTTAGGGAGTTTACAAAGAATTTCCTTTTATCGAGAGTTTTCTATTACATCCACGATTGTATCTCTTATGTTGACAAAGCTTTCCCATTTTTTCATTTTTCACCCTCCCTGTCACCGCCTTTGTTTGTCTTATTCATTATGACGTATGGTTTGTTATTTATTATTATCTGTTTGTATATGTACAAATATATATTTATTTTATTTTACCCTGTGCAAGCATATCTTGTTCATTCACCCCGATGAGCTATTATCATTATAATTATTATTTTATATTAATTTTTTTCTGTCAATGTTATTTTTCGTACATCTGGCGGAAATCTTCATGGCAGAAGGAGGATCACATGCTTAGGAAAGGGGTGGAAAAAACGTATTAGGAAGGGTTCTTAGCAGAACGCGATGACACTCGGAAGATACTTTTATGATCGATATTCCGACAAAAAAGAAATTTTGGAAAAAAATAGTTCGAAAATATTATTGAATCACATTTTTTATACAGGTACTAGCAACAGATGACGGCTCACTCTACATGCACCATTTGAATACAGATCATGGCCAACAACCTAAATCTACATATGAAGAACACGTGAAAACATTTTTGAATTACGTCAGCAGATTGTAGCATTTTTTACAAATATAACTTTTGGACACTGATATCTTGTTAGAATCTTACTACTTTTTGAGATTTTCTGACTGCATTAATAAATACATATGTTTTTACTACTGCGTCATTAATTCTCAGAATAGTGATAGCGCCCACAACATCTATAAATGGTGTCTCTTAAACAACTAGCAAAGATTCAGAGTATGGTTTCTTCTTCGCTGAAGATCTGTAAAATACGTCTTCGTTTCAGAGATACAGGCCTCCAAGTGTCACATTAATATAGATTTTCTTTAAAGGCTGAGTACCGTTTGATGTTGATATTGCCTTTGATTTTTAACAAACAATAATGCTTAATTGCGGAACGTTTAAGACAACGCATTTGCACTTCACAGTAGTGAAGCTGTCGTTAGAGGTATTCAAAATATGGAAGATTTTCAAATGTTCCATAAGCTTTGATATTGCAGATTTTGAAAATTGAAATTTTTATTAAAATTCAGAAAATTTTGGAGAAGATAGATTTTGAGACATTTTTGGAAATCATATAAATTTAGGAAAATTTGAACATATTGTGAATTTTGAAAATTCGGTATATTTTGACAATCTCGAAAATTTTGAAAATCTTGATTTGGAGAGTCACGAAAGTTATGAGTCTTAAGATTTTGAGCAATGTCCAACTTTTGAAAGCTTGTGACGACAACTGTGAAATGCAAATGTTAAATCATCCCTTGAACATTCCTCAAGGAAGCGTTATTGTTTGCATAAAATCACTCACTGCTCCAGAATCGTTTACAAATCGCCCTAAGGATGACATTGAAAATCGTATTTTCTCGAAATATGATTTGAACAACACTGTATAATCCATCAAAGGTGGACTCCATAGTACTAGTTAAAACCTTACATGATTCTATGAAATATCTCGTAGATGACTTATTTGAACTAAACGATAATTTAAAGTAAAACTTTCTTAAATTTCTCTATCAAAATGAACTGCAAAAAACGATACTATTCATTGTTCTATTCGTTAAGTTGTACTCAAGGTTTGAAAATTGTTTCTTACCAAAATGCATTATATCCTCATTGTTAATTAAACGATTTGTTTAACCAATATACACACAGACATCATAATTTAAGAACAACCTAAGATATCCATGTGAATCAAAAATTTTCATTTATAGAACTTAAACACAAGAACATTTTAAGCACAGTTATGGGCGCCTGCAGAAGAGGGCCAAGGGAAGCCATGCCATCTCCCCCTCCGTCCCAAAAATCCTGTTGGACCTTAACCATGTGCATACTTAGCATGAATTAGTTGACAATTTTGAGGATTTTAAGAAGTAGATCTCGAAATTGCAGCCCCCCACTCATCCAAAGGTTTTGGGCGCAGATACAGTTCCACAAAAAGATTATCTCTTGCCGATGATCGGCCTCTCCTGAGAAAATATCCTGCGGGCACCCATATTGGTGCACGTTGGTGAAAAAAAGACGTTATCATAACAAATAACTGACAATATTTGTTTAATTTAAGCACAAAAATCACAAATATCACGCATTGATTGCATCTGACCATATTCCCTATAGAACTTCCGGTACAATTGACACAAATTGTTTTATTTTTTTTAAACTGTTAAACCTACTTAAAATTTTGCAAAATAACGAATAATTACTGCCACCCCAACTGTCGGAAAGCGAGTATTGGACACCAGATTGTACAATACATACTGCGTGTACATATCTTTCGGAAATCAACAAATTTTAACTTTTAACAAGAGGCATCAAACAGGTTAACTAGATGGCGTTAGAAATCTTCAATTCGGTAAATATCAGTGTGAATCAATTTACGAACCGGTACAATATACCCGAAATTATATATATTATAGATTTCATGGCCTTCTCCAACTTCTTAGGTACTGACTGCAATGAAAGTAATATTGAACCAAGACTGTTTTTTTCTCATAATCGGTTCCTGAAAGTTTTGATACGCGCCCTATAATCGTTTATCATGAAAGCATGAACGAAATGAACACGAACTATAAACTAGATGATTTTCGACGTGCACTGACATCCATGTCATTGATGTCAATCATGAAAAATTAAATAGTGCTTCAAAAATACCAGTATGACGCAAACATGCAAAAATGTCCCCTAGTGCCATTTTTTTCTAGTACATCCACGAGTTTCCTTTACAAACTGCTCACGGCTATCAAACAGTTACAGCAACAGGACAGACAGCGATGTGGAGTCTGTTTCGAAGATATCGTTAGGTTCATGAAAAGAACATGTGGAGCAGAACTAGATATTGGAAGCCAGGTGTACTATACGTTAAGAAAGGCCGAACAGGCTCGCTTAGTGTCAAAAACCAATAATGTGTACATTCTAACTCAACCAGCGGCATGTATTCACATGGTCCCAGAGTCCTGCGTTCAAGCGAAGCTGAAGGAATTACTAAATATTTTCAGTTCGAGTCCCGGTAAATGTACAGATAGAGGTAAAAGGAAACCTCCAGCGTGCGAAAAGCTTGTTTGTGGAGATGCAAAAAAGTGCAAAAGACCACCAAAGTGTGGTGGTAGAAGTTCTACAGCAAAGTCTAGAAAATCTGCCCGGAAATCGGCTAGGATATCTGCCCGGTATGTAATCAAACCAATACCTCAACACAATACTACTTAAATAAATTCTAGGGGTAAATCTAAGAGAAGGTCAAGGTCAAAATCAAAGTCAAGATCAAGGTCGAGATCAAGGTCGAAGAGTCCCTGTGGTATAAGGAGAGATTTCATAAAGCAATTGGGAATCGATGCAGATAGTTTGGCATGTAGTGAGACTTCCGATGATGGCTGTTAGAAATAAAGGATTAGTCTTTGATATCCAATGTTGTTAATTTTTTCAAGAACAAACTTTGCATCTATGGTCGGCATTGTATTGTTTTAGGAGCAATTGCTAGCATCACAGTATTTTAGAGGTAGACAAAATTGCATCCTTGATAGCTGAACTAGACTGTTCGTCTTCATTTTCAATGATTGTGCAGTTTCTCCCAGATTTTTTACTTGTCTGTTGGAAAATAACATATTTGAAATCCGTATGTCAAAAGGAACGCTGGTCAGTTAAAAAGCTGAAAAGTGCTTGTCGGGATCTTCTTACTGATATCCTCTAGATAAGGATTGTCACTGAACATCTTAAAAAGGAACCAAATGCCACCCCATTTAATAGTGACATTCAATTATTAAATATGGAATCACATTTATATCTCTTTGCCGTCAAACACACTATCCCGGTAGACATGAAAACTTTATTCACATTCTGAGAATGTACGTTTTAGATCCTAAAATAAATATCCTGATACAGCATGTTCTCGGCATATTCTCAGCATATTCTGACGAACGTTCTGAATATGATATTCCTGGGAAGACTTATAATGTTTTCATTGGATATGCTATAAGCTGAGAGCATGTATAGCAAGTGATCTTGCTTACTGGGGTGCAAAATGTCAAGAATTACCAGACTGGTGTCTTAAGCCTGATTAACCTGTACTAAGAAATTCCATCGTGACTACTGACTACGTAATTTTGGTTCAAAACAAATCTTCTACCTAGTCCGAATTCGTTGAACGCGACCAAATATTTTATGTCAAACTGTCAACGTCAAACCATTTAGGCCATTTTTTCCATGGCAAAGTAGGGCAAGACTATGGACCTCGGTTGGCCGCGTGGGTCAGACTGTCGTGCTACTGATCAGCCGGCCGGCCGGGCCGCGAGTTCGAATCTCGCCTTCGCCATGGATGTTGTGTGTTTGTTTTTAGGCAGCAGCGGTGGCCGCAGTAGTAGACTCTTCGGTCTCCTGATCAGTCGCCGTGCGCTGTGCGGGTTCGAGTCCCGTCCCAGGAAAAATGTTTCTCTTGGCTATGGATGTTGTGATTGTCCGTAGGTGGTAGATGGTCTCTGACTGTCGAACGCGGAGGTACCACCCGGCGGTTCTCGTAGGCGGAGCCAGAATGTGTGCATGTTGCATGCACACGTGTTCCCTCGCCAGAGTCCGTGTGGCGTCCCCCCTTTCCCATGTATCCCCCTATAGCCCCACGATATCCAATGGGTGCTTAGGCCTTAGGCCTTCGTGGTAGTTGGAGTATGAAAAAAAAAAGACTGAGAATAGTATTTGTATTCCGTCACAGCTGCGGTGGAAGATTTTACTTAAAGCTTTGTAGGAGAGGGTTACTAATTCACGTTCAAAAAAAAAAGGTAAAAACACACATCATATACTTTTTGGAAGGATGTTAATTATATTATAAATTAAAAATTATAGAATATGTCCAATTATGAATTTTGCTGGAAAGGGCGAATAGTAGTATCTAATGGAAGGAATCTTTTCGTTGTTTTTTTAAGATAATCTTCAGGAGGCCGTTCACAGTCCATAATAATTTCCATCTTCGACATGCTGCTCTACAGAAACACCTTGTGTATGAAATGTTGCTCTCAAAATTATCGAAAGTCGTGTTAACGTCAGTTTACGTTAGTTGTTGTGCGTGGTGAAACAGTAGCCAGAGGCAAAATTAATCAGTGAAATCGTGAATCGCAGTAGTGCCCCACAAATCAGAATGGCCCCACACACTAATTCAAGCCACAGAAAATCCTCAAGAAGGTCGAGAGGGAGTTCCAGACATTTAGCAGAAAAAATGGTGAGGTTTCCTAAGAAGGAGCAGTCTGTAAAGAGAAAATCTTCAACTGCTGTTAAGGTATGCTTGTATGGTGAACATAAGCTATAGTTCAATACGGTCCAAGTTTTTGCGGATAAACTAAGTTTTTAACCTTTCTACGCAAATTGCTCAGGAAACCATTTATAGTTGATAGTTGATACAGAAACTTAAGCAACAGACAAGTCGAAAGAAAAGAATCAAAGCTAACAGTTTAATTTAAACACTACTTAAAAACCACCATATTAAAGCAAATTTTTGAGAAATAAGCAATTGAGTTATATTGATCTTCTTTAAATACACACCAGACGCTACTCAGTTACAAATAGGGTAAGAGGTCGGAGAGCTATACAATGTGTCTCATGTTAGTTTCCCCACTTAGATATTTGGGAAACTTTGCATTCTATAAAAAGTTTCAAAGAATAGTTGTAGGATCGGGAGGGGCAAAATGATGGTGACCTTGACAATAACCTTGGCTAAGATCTTTAAAGTCCTTTCAAGGTTAACTTTTTTGCACCGGAATTAAAAATTTTACGTCCGAACATCACCTTGACCTTTACCATTGTCTTTCGGGAGAAATCTAGACATCGAAAAGAATTTGCTACAGCACAGTAAGTTGTGAGGTTTGTAGGGATCACCCTTAACATGACCTTGATTATGATCTTCATATAATTGGTCAAGTCCAACTTTCATCCCGGAAATGGAGAAAGCAGGAGATTTCACTCCTAAGGTGACCTTGATCTCAATTAATATTTAAGCTTTTTGACTTTCAGGTCAAGGTCCAAATTTCCTCGTAGTTAAGGTTATTTTCAAGGTCACCCTCGAAACCCTACAACTTTCGTAATTTTTGTTCTAGAATGCCCAGTTTTCTAAATATTTAGGTAAGGAGATTAAAATGGGACACCGTGTATATCTTGTGGTAAAATTCTAAGCACGAACAATTCATGAAGTTACTAGTTAAATCGCGGTTAACTGGTAGTTTTGGTCAATGTCAAAGTATCATTAGGGCTAGCACATTACGAGAGATGGCAGAGGAGATCAAAAATAGCACAAGCACGTGAAAATAACGTTACAAACTGGCCACGAAATGGCGGGAAATCGCTAGTTGAATGACCTAAAAGTAACGTGAAGCTGTCCTAATATCACATACCGATGACGGCATATGGCAGACGGCAATAGTAGGTCACTTGCTGGACGTGAATATGACGTCTATTATTTACAGTAAATCAATTTTAGCTTTTTTAAAAAAAACATATACTGTTCTACCAGGTGGAGCACCATAGGCTATAAATTGTAACACTGACTCAGTGCCGCTCACCTAGCGACGAAAGACGACCTATTATTGGAGGGGGATCCACTACTTTACCAGTTTACATGACGTTTTAGTGTGGGAACACTACGCTGATGCTGCCAGTTTTGCACCCTGTGAGCTGTGTGCTGATAACATATGGTACTTTACAAAACATGCTAGACAGTCGTAGTTATATTAGTCGAAACTATTCTCAAAATGACCCATTTTGGGAATACTCAGTACATGGATGATTTTTGTTCACGGTCAATTGTCACTCGATACAGTGTTTTCTAGAATATATAACACCTTGAATAGCTAAAATTTGATATGTATTCTTTAGTTTTGTATGATCTATCTAAAGGTATCTAATAATGTCAGTTTATATTTATTTTGCAATTACACCGCGTGTAAATCATTAAATATTAGATATAGGAACGCTATATAAAAGAGAAATGGAACATTATACAGTAACTTTTGGCAAAACCGTATCAATATGTCATTTCGGATAACTTTGAATTGCTTTAAGTCACGGGGTCTTGGAAATCTAATAGACGCAGAACATTAAAAAATGTCTGCATGACCGGAATATTCACTAACGTTTTGCCATGCTTTGTTGATTTATTATTTCGCGATTTACTAATATTATCCAATATTTCTGCTTGCAACTCATCAGAATTGTCAAACCTGGAGTCATGATGACAGCAACAGAGAGAGACTACGCAGTCGAGCAAGTTCGCAAGCACACAAGGCTGAGACTGGCACTGTGAACAAAATTAAATCGTGCGACTTTAGGTCCAACCAAAATTATAATTTTTCTTCGACAACAATCTCAAGATTAATTTTAGGATCAATTTAAGATTGCCGAATACTAATTAGCAATGCCAAGCCACCCCTCAAATTGACGCACTTCTTTTCCCTCCTTCCTTCCTTCTTCCCTCCTTTCTCCCTGACTTTGTTTGGTATCTGGGCAACCAGACTTGACAGACCTACTGACTTACAAGACTTTAACCAAGAACAAAGGTCCTACGTACCACTCTGACAGACAATGACGAATAGAGAGCAACAAAGAGACATACTAGATGCCTAGAACCTGAAATACATTTTTTCTGCAGTGTACATACGAGAGAGATGCCCTATGCGCAGTACTTGAAATTCATTTGCTCACGTCGTCGACATTTTTGGCTTCTGACAAATTAGTTAAGGCTTTCCCGGCCAGTTAATAAACTGCTGTCTTGATTCAGGTCTAAAGGCCGTCGATGTAGACTGTAGTCTATATCCAGCATCGGAAATAGAAGGACCTCTGAAGAAGCTAGCCACTTGTGCTAGCGAAACGTTAGGAAGAAATTCCAAACGACGACGGCCTTTAGACCCGAATCAAGACAGCAGTTTAATTTTGGCTTCGTCCGCACTCCATAAGAGATAGAACGAGTTAGTTATTTCTCTACCCGCTGACTTGATCCGCTTTGGACGGGAAAGATTAATTCTAAATTAACGGAAACATCGTATATATAAAAGTATATATAGTCAACGCCAAACAAAGTGGCGTGCACGTCATCAAGGTGGGTGTGTTGAAAAATTTACATTGTTGCCAAACTTTTTGTAAAATAATAAAATTTATTATTTACATATCTAGGTTTATAAGCAATATTAACCTCAAATGAGAACAAAAATAATAGTATAATAAAATTATAGATCTGTACTTGCATAATCATTAAGTATGACAATTATTGATCAGATGACACTATGAAACTACCATATTTAATTGATAGCTTAAAGGTACTGAATAAAAATCCAAATGGGGTCCTCCAAATTTTATGCATGGTATTTATTTTACAGAATTCATACAGAAAAATGCATTCTAAAATTGGGTAAGCTACTGGTGTAAGCTTTTTCTGTACAATAAAGTTAGTCGGAGTTTCTTTCTTCAGCGCTGTCTGAATCTGAATCTTCATCACTCTCAAAGTTGATTATTAAAGGTTCGATGTCTGGTCGATCAAAAATTCGTTCTCTTTCATACCATTTAAAAATGTCTAGCTCAGTATGTCGAACACTATTTTTCCACATGTCTGGGGTAACCGTTTGTAGAGCCTCGTTCCACATATCCAAACAGTCTTTTTCACTGTTACCATCTCTACCAATATGTCTGTTATAGTAACCTTTTGCTATGCCCCAAATTAACTCAATAGGGTTAAATATACAATGGTAAGGAGAACTTTGTGCCCATGTTGTTCCGCCAATTCATCAATCACGTATATTTTAGGTGGTTTGTTTCTAAAAAAGCAGTTATTTTAAGAATAGGAATAAACAAAAGAAATATAAACTGTCGACCAAAATATATATAATTAAGAAGCATTATGTACCGAGCAACAATACTCAATAGCTCTGTTTCAAACATTGTGTTTAAAAATGGTATGTTTTGATTTGTCAACCAGTCTTGGATATTTTTTTTTGTCCATGCATTGTTGGGCACTTTGTTCAATATCATGCTGTGATAAGGGGCGTTATCCAGTATAATCATAGATGGACTCTCCAATTTTTCTAATAACTGATGTTGAAACCATTTCAAAAAATTGTCCTGGTTCATCTCTCCATGGTAATCGCTCAATTTTGTTTTCGAAGAAAATATCGCTTCACTACCCTCAATAAACCCATTTTCATTTCCAGCATGTAATATAATGTATCTAAAATATATTAGTTTTAAATTTTATAGTGCAAATTGTGTAAAAGTACATACCTTTTACCATCTGTTTTAATAGCTTTCACGCTTTTTTGGTTTCCATTTTGCCAAGAGCGACCTATGGTCCCATTTTGAAATATCCAAGTTTCATCGAGGAAGACAAACTGGTATAAGGCCTCAACCTTGGCTTGATTGTATTGCCTTAGAAATTCCACCCTTTTCAAAGCTATACTTGGTAGTTCCATGAGCCCTCGTCGCGGATTGTCCTTAAGCCACTTAAATCCAAGATCTCTAAGCAACCGCCTTAAAGACGTGGCACTACCATCAAATAATGCCCTATCTCTTAATCAAGACCATAAAGTTTGTATCGTAACTTGTTCTTCTGAAACCATGTGTAATATGACATTATAATTTAGTTAACAAATTAATGCAAATTTCTGATAAGTTATTATAATAAGATCTTAATTTTGTGATACATATTATAGATCACTTCTCGAATGGCACTTGTATAAAATGTCGCTGTGTTGGTTACACGTTTAATATAACTCCGCTTTTTCTTGGGTGATTCTAAATTTGCATCACTTTTCACACCCTCGGAAATACGACTAACTGTCCTTAAACTAATTTTTAAAGCAGCAGCAACACGCTACAAAAAAATGAAATAAAATTTCACTATTATTAATATACATTACATATAATTATTAGTAACCTACCTCTTGAACAGCATTTAAAGGCAACAAAGGCCCGTTGTTGTCCCTTTCTTGCTCAAAGTAGTGCATTAACGAGGCCACGAGTTCCTTACACCGACTATTTAACTGTTTGGGCATCTTTATATACCAAAATTGCCTTTATCTACTCGTAAAATGAATAATTTTGTTTTGAAACAAACAGTTGTTGATTTACAGTATGCGGGGCCAAAGGATTTATAAAGATTTGAAATGCCACAAATTGATTCAGTGTCAAAATTAATACAAATGTCAGTTCCCAGTTTAAATAAGTTTCAAGGTGACAATGTGTCAACGCTGCGAAATCGGTTTAGTGCGTTTACATGTCGATAAGTGATTGGAGCGTTTGCAAAACATTTTATTTCGCATAATGCGTCTAAATTTATCAGAAAGCAACTTATGTGATATTTTAATAACAATGTTTATATCACTATTAACCATAATAAGAGAGTAATGACCATTTTACAATTTATATATCACATTAATATGAAACTGCAATAGAGCAATTGTTTGTGATAGAAACCTAGGCATTAGGTCGGGGAATTTTTATCGTGATGACGTGCACGCCACTTTGTTTGGCGTTGACTATACATATAATTATGAAAATATAACCCTAAAAATACGTTATAACAACGTCTTACAGTATACAATTAGATATTTGGTAGACGTCACTACGACGTCAATGTTTCGAACAATCACGTCAGTTAACAACTTATCACCATATTTCGACGTCATTATGTCGTGTTTGTTCTAGCTGGGTATTTGCAAAATTTACCTGTAATGCCGAGAATATTTGTTGGTATCCTGTTAGCTCGCGACACTATTTATAGTCTGGCACCCCGGATGTCTTCTCATGCCGACCTCCCGGTTGCCAGATCTGTCGTAAGTACGGAGGATGCGGCATCGTAACGAATCGCACTAGCCCTTAATGAGATGGAAGACCCCTTCAATACTTCGAAATCGTTTTTTGGAGAAGAGCTACGTCGTGGGGCTGTAATTAAAACAATACACGTAATTTCATTTGAAGCAACCCGAGAACTACGAAAGTCTTATCTTGTATTATTTGGCAAAGCTGAGGAGACTGTTCGGCTCCACGGACCATCCGACACCTGGAAACAGAGAGAATAGTGCAGCAAAGATGCGAAAGGAAAACAGCGGCAATGTAGGAAGGCAAGACGGACCACACTCTATCAATCCAAACAGGTATATTTCAATATTGTGAGTGTACGTTTACTTTACTAGCTACTAGAGGTATGAGGCGATGGCAGGCTAGAGGATCGAAAAGGATTTCTATCTCGATAGTGCAAACTGATGAGAAAAGTCCCCCCAGGATGTTATGAGCATCCGTAGGCATTCCATGACATCTCGCCTCCTTTCGACAGCCAGGGGAAGCCGCGGGATACTGAAGGCTCTCGCCAGGGGATCCTACGGTGCGATGTTACAGATGCTTTTTTACATCCTCGGGTGTGGATGAGAGTTTTTAAATTCTCACATCTGCGGATGCGGAGCTTAAAGATTTTTCATAAAACTAAGAATAACCTTTTTTCGCTACTAACACGATAAATAAACATTTGTTGACTCCAATTATTTATTGAGAAGTATAGTTCTTTTAACGTTTTTTGGCGGCTCAAAGTAAAACTACAGGAATTGCTTTCACACATCCATCTCTCTTATACATACACATGCAACATACCCCTGTGTGTGAAGGTTTGTTCGATGAACTCAAAGACATACGTTTTTCAGTTGCGTGTCTCCGTCTCGAAAACCTTGTCGTTACGTATGAGTGCCCTTCAAACATATTTGCCAGAGTGACAACTTACTTGACATCGGCGTGCAATTTCAGTTGTCCTGTTATCAATCTTCAATATAAAATTGTACAATGCCCGGGAATACGATCAATGGAGTACGCCGACAGCTCGTGCTAAATTTATTAGAGTATTTCCAGGAAGAGAATAAAAACAGCAGTCCTTTGTTACCCACTTCATGCGTACTGGAGAGTGTAGCAGATGCGCTGAAGATTAGTCTGCACCCTTGGTAGATAAACTCGATCTGTTGACTTATTTCATATGGTGTTGATGACGTGACCCCCCAAGAACGGTGGCTATGACTATGGTAGTTCTCTCCTTAGATATATAATAGAAATAAGAATCGCCTAGGTATATAATAACATCATTTGAAATCGATCCTGTCAATTTCATTGTAACAGTTTAACACCTGACCTTTAGAATTCGAAATATTTTAGAATCATCGAGAGATAAGTAATTTTTGGTATAGCTCCTGACGTAGTCCTCCTCCTTGCATACCCCAATAATCGGCATAATGTTTGAAAACAGCTTTTAATGTTAACAAAAAGAAATCACTTGCACCTTACTCCTCTTTGGATGGACCAGTCCAAACACCAAACCAATCAATTGTCTATTGCATTACATAATACACCATTTTCCTGTAGGTACACAGCAAGGCATTCCTCTCCTCGACCGCGTGACAAGCTTACCGAAGAGATGAAAGAGCAGGCCTTCTACATCGTAAATGCGGCTATAGAATATGGATACGCCAACAACGTGATCGGCAGAAACGGCAACTGCTTCTATCTAAAAGAAAGCAAAAGCTGTAAGAACCTTCCTGTCAGTTGTTCAATGGTTGACAGCAGATACGGGTGCAGGCAGTGCGTCAGTAGCATGAACAACAACCATGTTGAGGTGTTGAAACCACCAGCTGGTATGCTAAACCAAAACGGGGAGTTTGTCAGAGTAACCCGGGCTATGACTGACGGCAGTAAGAGGTACTATTTGCCCAACAAGCAGAGTTCCAGGTAATTTTGCGACGTTGGCTTTTCCAATATGAACGGGACAATGTTGAAACGGAATAGAACAAGTTTGTTGTGAGGTATTAATGACATTATTCCAATGTAAAATCTAGTCCACACTCAAATACGTGAAACAGTGCGAAAACGCAGACAGCACAGAGCATGAAACGCCGATAGGGGAATACTGTCGCACTTTTCTGCCTGAGAGTACCTATAAAACCTTTGCTTTATCCGAACTCATAATCTATGCGAAACGGCATCATCAACATCCAAATGCGAAAACATTTTTCGGAATACCTCACAACTACTCGTTTAATTCTTTTCAACATTGATCCGTCCTAACTGGGGAAACATATGTGAAAACCATTTATAAAGTAAGCTACATTTACGGAACCGAAATCAAAGATGCGCGAGCCAGCAGCTCAGCAGTGTGACATTGAATTAATTGCTAAAAGTCGAAAGTTTTGATATAGGTACCATGTTTGTACATACGAGGCTAATTAATGAGAGTGGCGACGTTGCGTTCGATATGGCAACATTGGAGGCGCTGGGCGTGCAGGTGAGACAGGGGAAGATGAAGATGTGATCCGCCCTCAGTATAAGTTTGGACTCGCATGAGTGATTTGGTAGATTGTAGCGATTTTTTGTTGTTGCAGTTTTTCGTATTGTGTTCTAAAAATGAATGACATCAATTTCGAGCAACGGTGTTCTATCAGGTTTTGCGTCGGACTTGGGCGTAATGTAACGGAAACATGAAAAACTTCAGTAGGCCTACGAAGATAGTGTTTTGTCAAGAGCCCAGGTTTTCAGTGGTCTAGGGCATTTTCACAAGGTAGAGAGTCGATTGAATATGAACCACGAAGCGGAAGGCCTTCATTTTCAAGAACCGATGAAAATATCGCCAGAATCTGGAATCTTGTGCATTCAGATCCTTGGTTGATAGTCAGAATGATCGAGGAAGAGTTAAATTTGACTCGCGCCACAGTTTGTCAGATCAAGAACAACCTACTCGGGTATCATGTATCTTGAAAAGTGACATTATGCCGATTTTTTTTGACATTATGCTGTTTTTTTTTGACATTATGTAGGTTAGTCTACAAGATGTTAACTTAGCACTTAGTTGTACGTGTTTCCTAAACGTCATGAGGCTTGTTATCAAACTTTGGCTCTGATGTTATGTAAAATCTGTTTCTGAGGTGGCATTACTCGAGGTCTAAGCTGTAAGTTGTATAATGTTGATGATAATTACATTGGGTTCTTGTCTCAAATACACTTAATTGAGATTCAAAGCTAGAAATTAGTTGCGCATCCACTTTTACATGCTAACAGTAATTACACACAACGCGGGCGCGGTGATGATTCCTCGTAATTCTCCTCAGTTTTTCGTAATTTATAACTTTGAACATAACTTCTCTTCAGAAAGCACAACATATAAATAACCCGTCATATACGGCATATTCAGTAATGATTTTCTCAGTTCTCAGTCAGCAAATATCACTGATTTTATACACCTGCAGACCAATATACATAATCATCCAGATGCGATCTTTCTATTCAACCAACTTCCTTCTCAGAGATAAAAACTACAGACCCGGATCACTCAGCATCACAAAGCTATGCAACCAATAATGCGTAGTTTAGTTGAGTGATTCCTCCACAGATGGACGTTCACAACGATCCTAGTGAGCAAACGTGGAATGACTGTTTGCACCCTAAAAACTACATAGTCTGCAAGTTGACATCTTATAGGTTTTTTTTGACGTTTTATAGGTTTTTTTACATGATACCCATGCGGTTCTTGAAAGAATCACAGTACCACCTACGAAACGTCAAAAAAAAAAACCTATAAGATGTCAACTTACAGACTATGTAGTTTTTAGGGCGCAAACAGTCATTCCATCTAAGAAGGAATAACTCAACTAAACTATATGCGCTTTATTGGTTGCATAGTTTGTGAGGCCGAGTGATCCGTGTCTGTAGTATTTATCTCTGAGAAGAAAGTTGGTTGAATAACAAGATCGCATCTGGATGATTATGTGTATTGGTCTGCATGTGTATAAAATAAATATGCCGAATATGACGGGATATTTATACGTAGTCGTGCCATAAGTTCTGTCCCATGATAATCTCATGATAAAAATGAAACAAGATAAGATATATTTATATGAAAGATATTATTTATTCGACAACATTTTTAGAATTCATAATCAAACAGTTTTATTCAAAATGTCCCCCCTTGGCCTTCACACACTGCTTCAATCTCGCGGGCCACTCATCTATCACTGCACGCACAGCTTCCAAAGGAATAGCTGCCGCTGATCGGATCAAATCCGCTTTCAGGGACTCGATATTACGGTGGGCTTTGGAGCAGGCCAACTGCTCTAGCAGGTCCCACAACTTGTAGTCTAAAGGATTGAGGTCCGGACTCCCTGAGGGCCAATCTTCCGCAGCAATGAACTCTGGCACATTGCTTTCCAGCCAGCGCTGCGTACTCTTAGCCTTGTGAGCGGGGGCGGAATCCTGCTGGTAGACCCAGTGTTGGTTGGCAAACAATGTACCACTTAAAGGCTTGACGATAGGATCCAGTATGTCGCTCTGATAGTTTGCCGCTTTTGTTTTCACGCCCTGTTTACAGAAATGGAGCTGAGTGACCCCTTCGTAGGACACCCCCCACCAAACCATGACTGACGCAGGGTGGTGGCCTCTCTCAACTCTCGGAATGATCTCCGAAGCTTCCTGTGAACTCCTTGCATACACTTTGTCATTTTGTCGGTTGAATTTTTCTTCTATGGTGAAGATTTTCTCATCCGTGAACAAAATCTTTCGGAATCCCCCAGCTGCGTACCTCTCCAAGAGCTTCTTGGATCTTGTCGCCCTGATGTGTCGCAAGGTGGCCGTAAGTCGCTGGCCCGTACGTCTCCGGTAAGCCCCTAGCCCTAGGTCTTGTTTAATGATGCGCGACATCGTCCGGACAGGAATCTTCATTTCCCTGGATAGGATCTTCTGCTTCCGGAGTGGATTCCTTTGAATCCTGGCTTTTACGGCTTTGATGGCTGCTGGAGTCCTTACTTGACGAGGTCTTCCGCTTCTTGGCCTGTCATCAACAGAGGACGTCTCATTGTACCGCTGAATGGTCCTAGACACAAATTTACGCGATATTTGAAGGCCGCGTAAGAGTTCAAAAATCTGACTAGCACTGTGATTACACTTATGTAAAGCTATCACTGCAATACGGTTCTCTGCCTTGCCCCACTCCATCGTTATGCTTCGAGAGATCAATACAAACTGAGGTATATGTAATTACCCGAAAAGCGCTTAATCAAGTGACACCACAATGTAAACAATCGGACAAGTATTAACAGGTCTACACTTGTTTGAAAACGAGGGACAGAACTTATGGCATGACTACGTATGTTGTGCTTTCTGAAGAGGGGTTATGTTCAAAGTTATAAATTACGAAAAACTGAGGAGAATTACTGTTAGCATGTATATGGCTTGTAATTCGACAGTGTACAGTGAATATACTTATTTCTTGTCTCTCTCATTTTTGAAATTCAGCAAATTTGTATATGTAATTTCCAGAATGGATAAGAAAAATTGGATGCGCAACTAATTTCTAGCTTTGAATCTCAATTAAGTGTATTTGAGACAAGAACCCAATGTAATTATCATCAACACATACAAGTTACAGCTTAGACCTTCAGTAATGCCATCTGTGAAGCAGATTTTACATCACATCAAAGTCAAAGATTGATAACATGCCTCATGACGTTTAGGCAACACGTACAACTGAGTACTAAGTCAACGTCTTGGCGAAAAACCTACATGTCAAAAAAATACCAGCATAATGTCAAATAAAATCGGCATAATGTCACTTTTCAAATTACGTGATACCACTGCCGTGCGGGTGTTGTATCACGATAATCCTCCTTGTCACACAGCAATGTCAATAAACGAGTTTTTTTTTGGCCAGTAAAAACATTCGTGTGGCTTCTCATTACTCGCCTGACTTTAGCTCTTGTGACTTTTTCTCTTTCCGAAGTTGAAAAATCATCTCAAGGAAACTCATTGGGACGTCTTTAAAATATCGGCGATTAAACATTGAAGAGCAGGAGAGGTGGTGGCGATTACGAGACTTGATGATATTTTGTTGTTTTATTGTTAAAGAACCCAAGTATTAGACTGCAAAACCTCATACATATTCTCGGCGGAGACCCAGGAGTCCACGGGTCACAGGTTGAGAAACACTGGATCAGCCTACAAGGGAGGTCGTCAGATGAGCGCATTGAATAAGGTTATCATGCTAAGGACGTAAACATATAAGAGTACAAAATTGGAGAGAAAAGAAGCGGAACTCTTCCGATAGGCTCCTTTGTCGCGTGCAAATGTCGCCGTGGTCCCATTCACGGCGCTTTGTCTCAGAGGGGGTGCAACTTTGAAGCAAATGCTGACGAGAAAAAGCCCCGCGATTTTTATGTGTATGCCATAGGGGGAGTCTATAATCTCTCTTGTTGTTCCTCAATACGGGCTAGCGGCGCTATGATCATACCGTAATTTTTGTACTCTAGTTATTCTTTGCGTTAGCTTAATTTTAGAGAAAAAGACTGTAAACGTTTCATCGCACCTCATTATTTGCATTATCACTTTGAAATTACGATATGCTTGAAGTAATGACTAATTTCGCTTCTTTTAGGAATATGCCCACAAGGACATCATCGTGTATAAATCCAGTAATTACCAGAAGTGGTAGAGTGAGCAAAGCATGTCGCTGCAGTAGGTGCCGTTATCAATAAGCTATGCCTCCAATTCAGAATCATCATGTTACTTGAAAAGACTTCCCACACGTTTTTGTGATCATCATGTGATTGTTTTGGGATAAAATAAAAATATGTCCTTATAGACGTGCACCATATGAGTTTTCAGCAATATGATGCAGTTATCCAAAATAAGAGTGTAATGACTAGCTACACTGCAGGTAACATGGCTCTGGCACTGTAACTACAATCCAAATTAATGACCAGCTAACAAAATGGGAATAAGTGCATGAAATTGGTTCCCCGATTAACAAAAAGTAGCAACGGGTGAACGCTTTCCGTCACTGATCAACGCAAACGTTTCGGTAGCATTTTTGCCCTGGCGAACGTTGATTTAGCGTTCCACCTTCACCGTTTTCACAAGTGACACAAACAACTTTTAGGTGGAGCTCCGCCTAACTACGTCAGCGCTCCAATATGTTCTATTGTTAGTTTCTCATCCTCCAACACAATTCTAACCGCTGGAGACCACAAAACAAGAGGCTCTCTTATCAGAAGGTCATGCCATTGTTAGAGTTCTCAATTTTACTTCCCAGGTATAAGGGAGGAAGTGCTGTGAGCGTGGATTGTTTACTGTAAGTTACGAGTTTCTTTAATGTGTCATAACAACCGAATCCGGAAAATCGTGGACTTTCCACCTATACCCCCAAGACAGCTACCAACAACAACGAGTACACTGTGAGAGGTTTATCCGATCTTTGTATAAAAATCAATATCCGAACTGTCTTAAAAACAACTAACATACTAACATCCCTATGGTGCCACAAAAAACCTACTATTGAAAATATAAAAGACTAAAAATTCAATATATTTATAAAACAGACTATGACTGTGGTAAATGCTACTTTTGATGAAACATCAAGACCTGGTAAATGTAGAATTGAAGAGCATAAAAGCTATATAGCGAAGGGAGAAACCTCAAAATCAGCAGTAAACGAGCACGTATGGGAATCAGAAATCATGAAAAAACTAAGATCTCAGTACTATACAATGAGGATAATTACAAAAAGACAGTAATGAAGTCAGCCCATATAAAATTAGACAATCATCTTTCTAGTTCTTCTGTTTATTGCGCATCGGAGGCTATTGTCTAAAGCAAGAGGAATTATCGGGCTTTAATAGGAATTACGGCGAAATATTTCCCGTTATTGTACAATTTCTGGGTTCTGTGTTCGGACGAGGCCAACAAACTTTTTTTGAGGAGTCCAGATATTAGAATATTTACAAAATGTGTTTTCGCCGTTATCCAAGTTTCTAATGATGATATCAAAATAATTTCTGTGGGGTCAGAAATGCAGCAAGGTTCTTTTTTTGTAAGTTACATATAGTGCTTTTCAAAACGGCCCCCAACTTATTTTTTTAACGAGTCAAGTTAGCAACCTGAAATTCGGGGTGCATAAATTGAATTGATGCATAAATACTGTACCTTAGCGGAAAAGTGGCACTCGAGAATTTCAACTTGTGACAGGGTGTACTCAAATAAATGTAGTTATATTTTTGGGGTGATACCAGAAAGGTTTTAGGGCCATTGGAAGTGAATTATACGAAATATCACTTTTGAATATTGTTCCAATTATAGACCCCTGGGGCCAAATTGTACAACTCTTACATGAACAGGTTTTTTAAAATTCATAGTGCCTTATATATTCAGTAGCCTATGTGTATAATAGAAATACTATTAAATCTTTCTGTGTACAAATTTTGAAGTAATGAGTCAACTCACCCGATTATTTAAGATGCTTAAAAAAAAATGAGGTATTTTATTAATAAAACACACCTTAAACAGCCTCAATATATTTCAACCAAATATATGTGTATATAAAAATATTCTGTATAATCTATTTGTACACATACTGTCATTATAATGTCAGTATCTATAAACATTTTACCATATTTTCCATCTGGGTAAACTTAATCACAGTATTACATTATATATTATCTTTTGATATGTGGCACCATTTGAGCTAAAGATTATTTTGCTAATCTACTTATGCTATGAGGCTGCTCTGCTTCAACTGCCGTTGATAGCTGAAAAAAAATAATGTACTGATAACAATCAGAGCAACAATGGTTTTTCTATTTCAGGTCTGTTCAACACTGTAGACCATTCATTAGTCAACTATTGTCTTTTTCACCAGTATCCATTATGTTAGAATGACAGCTGATTATTTAGTAATATTTCAAAATTCTCCATGTCTACAAATGACACATAATTCTGACGGATCTGTCCAGTCAAGTTTGTTTTGGTTTTTTGTATGCTACGGATTCATTTTGTACTTGTTAAAAACTCTTTTATTTAGAAAAGTTCATTTGCATACAAGAAAAAGATGCTACAAGCAAGTTTTACTAATTTTACACATTTTTGCCAATGGTTACAGACTAATACAAAGATGTCCCTTATTTATCAGCAGTTTACCTCAGTAGAAGTCAAAACGTGAAATCGGGTTTAGGAAGCTGCCACTGAACCACAATAACCAAATCCAAGCGAATAACCAAAATTTCTGTGTTATGTGCCGCGGTTATAATATGGTTCAAGATGACACACGGGTTGATGACGTCAGTTACACGAATCGCTTGAACGCGTTGGTTGTAACCGCGGTTTTGTTGCAAGTTGTTTATTTTAGAAAAGCGCGTATATAATCTCTGATTATTTTTATTATCACTTAATAATCGGTGCTTTTTCGTCTACAACTGTATATGGAAAGTTTAAATAATAAACCTTTCATAATATTCATGGGAGAAATGTTTCTTTCAGATTTTTTTTTAATGATGGAACCATGGCTTTGTAACCATGGTAACTTTCAGTTCTCTAAATTTTTCCGCATGTCAAAGAAAACATTTATTGATTCAGCAGAAATGATGAAGAAAGAAATTAGCAAAACCGTATACAGGTGGAAATCATCCAGTGAGTTAAATGGCCATATTACATCTCCATGTAAAAGTAGTGAAACAGTATCAGGTAAGAATTTTTTAGACAGATATTGGTACTCAATTGAGGAAAAGAAGACAAAAACACAATATATGATCTTCCTGAGCAGCACGATAATTGATATACAAAATTTGACAATGATGAACTTACCTAACAGCTCTGTACATTTGGTAGCATTGAGTAAGAGCAACAAAAACATTGACGCTAAACAGGGAATAGTTCTTTGGTATTATAACCAAGGAATACCTTGACCATATGACACCAGTAGCTAGAAGAGCACCACACTGGCTAACACTAATCTTATCAGCAGGTCTTTGGAGATCAGCAATACCAGCTATTACCAGACCCTGAAACAACAATACAGGGTTAATAGAACAAACAATATACATACAGTAATATAAAATCTGGAACTCATCCTGTTCAGTAGTTTTGGCTACCATGGTGGGCTTTTTCACAGCATCACCACAGTAGCTAAAACATTAGGAAATAATGATTTCTACTTGTATGGTTTCATTTAGCGAGAAAACTGTCTATAGGTGTGAACAGAGAGGAACCAGATCTGCTCGCGTTCTGACTCTGTGACCATGGTCAAACACGTTTATAGTTTATGCAGGCTGTCTTTCAGAGATGCCACCAACCATAATGGGTTGTTGCATTATCATATATGGATCAGATGTAGGAAGCTTTTACAAACTAGGTACTCGTAAGTGGCAGAAGCCAATAATTGTCGTAGGCTTTGAGCAATGGAAGACTTTTTGTTAACCAAGAGCACTTTTAGCATGTAGTATGAGAACAGACTGGAATTAAGATTTCCTGATTCAAGATAATATTGTTTCTTTCTGTAAGTGTAGGAATTGACTGTGATAATAATTATACTGAAGTAGAGTTAAAACTTACCCACTTGAATACTGGTGCCCAGAAAAATATAGTTTTAGGTCCTGTAACAGTAGTGTATTAAGAAAACAATGATAAGCACAGATATTACGTACATACGTACCTGCTGGGTGCATCCAAAGTGGTTTCAGTCTGTCGGGAACAACTTTATCCAGGGCAGCCATGGATTTATGATAGATCGCTGACATTTTTAAAATTTATATGAGATTCGGGATATGAGTAAAATTAAGAAACTGTCTTTTAAAATAGGAATTGAAGAACTAAATTACAAGGTTAAAAAATGTAAAACGAGGTCACGTTACGTCTATCGGTCATAATTGTCAATTTGACGTAAGTCAATATTGGCAAGTGTCAGGGGTACGTTCAGATACTTCGCCCGGCGTACGTCGGACAGCGTTATCGGTACGCGCATAACTTAACTAAAAAAGTGGCATTAGGTATTAGGTTCGTTCGTGCAGTGGTCGATGACTGTGTCTAAGATCCGGTCGTGTGAATTCCGTCAATAATCAAATCCAAGCGAATAACCAAAATTTCTGTGTTATGTGCCGCGGTTATAATATGGTTCAAGATGACACACGGGTTGATGACGTCAGTTACAAGAATCGATTGTACGCGTTGGTTTTAACCGCGGTTTTGTTGCACCATCACCATCACTGACAGGTTGGCGACTGCTGGACGAACAAGACCCTTATATTAATTTTTAATGACATTAAGTAGGTTTTCTTATAAAATATCACCTTTCAACTAGTTGACATTCACTTCATACTGACTTGTAGTAGGCGCGTATTGAACTGCAGGAGGTACCTACCTAGTGCACAAGTGAGCATTTCACCGATTTTTTTTGACATGTAGGTTTCTTTAACGATATCCCTGCCGGCGTCCAACTAAGAAGAGAAGATACCTTACATTTTAAATTTGAGTTGTAAAGACAGATAATTGTAAGATTATAAATGGGTTTGTACGATGACTTGTTTTCCTTAAATATTTGGAATAAAGACTCAATGAAATTCATGTCAGTCATCCTTATTTACAACGGGGAAGGGCAATAATAATTAAATCTCATCGTATTTTTTAAATCTAATAAGAAATATGGTTAGGTAGGTCACAGATTACTAACTTAACTGCTGTTAACTTATACTGAATCGTTCAGATGTCTTTTCTGTCGGACAATACATCAATGAAGACGCAAGCACGTCACCCTGTCGAGAGCCTTGTCTTCTACCGTCTAGAAGTATCTGAAAGCACTGTTGCTTTTTCAGGAGTATCCATTCCGGTGATATAACAGCTGATTATCTCGTAATATTTCAAAATTTCCCATATCGACAAGTAGCACATAATTCTGACAGATCCTCCAACGACAGGTATACAGAGCCGCACCTTGTTTTGGCCTTTTGCACGCTACAGATTGATTTTTGTACTTGCTGACAACTCTTTTACACCCGATTAATTATTGCCAAAGTTACAAACTAACACAAAGATGTCACTTGCTGATCAGCTGTTCACCTCAGTAGAAGTAGACGTCACGTGATGGATAACTTCATTCGGGAAGAATTTCAACCACTATTTTAAACTTGGAAGCAAAACGCCATCTTTGTTCAGGTCGACGAGTCAGGAAAAAGCCGGCTGGTCCCGTGGTAAACATGCTCTTTCAAATTAAGAGATCGTCGAATGCAGACACGTCATAAATAGAAGTCACCTGACCAGCAAACTATTTATGGATTGGCTCATCAGATGCAAAGGCGAGCTAGCTGTTGAAGTCCCAAGCTTTCCAGAGCCTCTTTACAGTGCCTCATTTATGTTACTCGAAGTAACTCGGAGCTATCCACCACCTGTCAATACCTTTCCAGTACTCTAGAGTGTCATGCACCTGAGCTACTCATTTTTAAAATCCCCTGTCGCCGCATGCACCAGCTTTTTATTCGAAATAGTGGGGATAACGAAAATGACAATGTGTCAAGATTGTTAGGTTATGTTTTTTCAACGTTTTTTTTGCATTAAACTAGCATTAAACCGATACCAGACAATGGAGGATGGTAAAAAAGCTGACCCAGAGTCACAACGTACATTTGAGATGTTCCTGAATAATAAAGATCACAAGAGAGTGCAAGAATGCAGGTTCATAGCGGCTTGTAGTTGGCTTCATCTATAACTAGACACTTTGAAAATACAATCTGGATATTACCCAAAACTAACGCCATATTCAATATTTTTATATTTAGATAAAGATAGAGAACCCCGGCAAGCAGCATGTCACATGATGACGTGATGCCCGTAATGCAGTTACCTCAATTTTGTCTGGAGAGGATGATCTTGGTGTTGCCAGTTCGCCCAAAAGACGTTTCACTCGCTGCTTTCAGGCAACCAATGTTCCGTCTTCTTCCTCCTATCTCATTCTCGTTCGTTCACTCAGAATTAGTTCATTTGGGTCAACATGATCCTGTAACACCAGGCGTTCGTAGTGAACGAGTTAACGAGTTTTTCAAGGAATGACACAGTTCAATCATAAGAATCGTGCGACTGAACTAGTTCGTTCGCAAACTACACACCACTATATTATCCATCAAGCCAAATCTCCAGCCGAGCAGAATAACACAGGTAGGGTCCGCCTGTGAAGGCGCTTCCCCGACTCAAGCTGCACAGGTCAACTATATCGAGACATCTTCACAGGCCAAGTCTCCAGACCAGGGCGAACGAAGGTCACGAAGCATAAGATCGACACGGATGACGCAGGGCCAGTCCGTCAACCTGCCTGAAGGGTCCCAAAGGCAAAGCGGGAGGAAGCTTTTAAGAGGAGAGGAGCACATCCATGACACTTTGAATGAACTCCTCTGGGTCTGCCTTCTTCTCAACGCTGGATTTGAAGAGTGGATACTGGGAAGTAGAGAGAGACCGAGATAGGACTGCCTTTACAATTGGACACCGTCATGTCTTTTGAGTTGTGTAATGCACTTGCTAGTATGCCTCTTCTACCTAAACGACATCATCGTGGTAGCCAAGTCGTTCTACGAGTAACTGAAGAAGACGTGCTTCGAGGGGCAAACTTGGAATTGATCTCAAAGAAATGGAGTCTGTCACTGGAGAAGATAAACTATCTAGTCAGCTGGGACGGGGTTGCAGCCGACCCGGAAAAAGGCGAGCGATCGGGAATGGCAAATTCCTGTTGTGTGATGGGGACAGGTATCTCGCGTGTTCCCGATGGCGTATCGGGCTGCTGTCAACCAGTCGATGGGCCAGATCTAGGCGAAAAAGTTGTTTGGGCGTGTGCTTCGGCTACCTTGTGACCTGCAGTTTGGTAGTCAACTCGGAGCGGATATGGCTAGTGACTACTGCGTATCCACCCTGGAGAGACGCATGGCTGAGATCCATGAAGAAGTGCACAATCAAATCAAAATTGCTAGAGATCGAATGAAGAACCGAGACGACCTCCGCGCCGAAGAGCGTGGCTATCAGCAGGGAGATCTGGTGTGACTGTATAGGGAACCCTTTTACCAAAACTGAAACGGTCCTTGGAAAGCCCTTACGAGGTTCAGAAGAGGATTAATGACGTCGTCTACCGAATCTGGATTGGTGCCAAGAAAAAGCTGGCAGTCGTACACTTCAACCGACTGAGTTCATTGCCGGAAGCAACGAGAAAGCAAGTGCCCACCACCTTCAAGCAGAAGACACTGAGCTCTCGCTAGAAGAGTTCCTCGGATCCTATTCGGGAAGCGGCAATGCTTGTTTTGACATAGCCAGGGAAGTACTGGAGGACTTGTTTTTCCTGCCTCAGGAAAGTTTCCTGGCATACTGCGTAGCCGAGTACATGAATAGCAGAGGGGCGTAACTTCCCTGTCTCGGAAGAAGTGTGGATGCCACCGAAGATTCGAAGACCAACAGCTGGGAAGGTGCTGTATGTCCCAGATGGTGACCAGTTCGTTCACGCGCTGGGGTCACCAGGACCGCTCACCATCAGCCGTCGACTTATTAAGCACTGTGAGGTGTCTTGAGACTCCTCGAACAACTCCTAGCGGCCTGGAACGTCCGAAAGCTGCGATATCGAAGTTAGCATGTGAGCAAGACGAACTGGACGTAATATGCTGAAGGTGTTGTTCCAACATACGAGCGTGGAAATCGTGATTTGCAGAGACGCCTTCCTGCGAAGACGCGCTCAGGAGAAGAGGCGTGTGTGCCATGCCACTTCTACGGAACATCTAGGTGCATCAAGGCTGGCGATGCCAGCATGATTCTTAGGACCCGTTTAGGGACGAAGCGGTTTTGTGGAGGGAGCATTTTAACCCCTCGTAACTACATAATCGTACATCAGCGCTTATGCGACCACGCACTACGAAAGTTGTGGTGTCGGCGAGAAACATCGCACCCCTCGCGAGGAGCCTACCGCCATCTAGACAATTTCCACGAAAGCTCGATTTCGATCGAGAAGACGCGGGAGCGTGCGTCTCAAAACCATCGATTGAAGAAACATATACGCAGAGATGACAGGGAGAACCGGAGAACACAGTTGAGCAGAGGATAGTGCGTGACGAGTCAGCAACAGTGCGAAGGTTCAGTCGACACAGTTATAAATTTGTAATAAATGAAGTATTGACATTAGTTTGAGAGTAATAAATTAGACGTTAAGTAGTAAAAACGGTTTTTCCGTTGCTCCAATTTTGTCAACGCAAATAAAAAATCTATTGTTTGCATTACGTCCCTTTATTTTCGACAATAACAAATTTGAATCAGGTTGACCTGCTCATTCCTTCGCATGCGACCAATGTACACATTTTGGCAGTCCCGCTTTTAATACAGATACACTCGTTGCAGTCGACGAAGGAGATACTTCCGGGTTCACAGTAGGGCTCGGCATCTGAAACGTTTTCAATTATTTACTAAAATGTTTCACCGCACCACTATTACGGTCAATTGTCAAGTGGTAGGAATGCTAAGTAGTCATAGCCCAAACCAGCGATGCCTTTCTGTGAATATAGACACGACGGAAATGAATAAGCTTGCTTTTTGTCTCTGTAACCATGACCAAGCGTAAACAGCGCTGTGTCGTGCTCATTAGCAAGTCATCTCTGTACATAGCGCAGAACGTCGCACGGTTATGGGATGGAGGACGTACGGGTCTCTCTGACGTCTTCATCGTATGATATGAGGGTGAAAATCAGTTCGGCAAACCATTGGTAGGTGGCAACTGTCAGATTTTCCACCTACTTGCGCACAACGTTTTGAGTTTTTTAAAAGAAAGTAACCTCTTGTTTGCTTCCCGTTCGTCTGTCTCCAAGACTAGACCTATACAGCGGTCATGAGTTGCTAATGAGCACAAAACAGCGCTGTCGCCATAAGGTTACGTGGAACTCCTCTGACACTGACGGCGCGGTCAATACTGTGGTATACATCGTCGGTGGTCCGTACCATCAGTATTTATTGATCACTCGGTCAGTGGCCAGGAGGCTATACAGTCAATAAATATCAATGATATATACCGATGGATCACAACAAATAGGTACTGATCGTGTGACCTTTGCCATACGACCTGTCGTAAATATTGATCATGTGATATTTTTCGATAACTTTCCAAACTTCTGTTTGTCGAATGCACGAAGTCTAGAGATAGGAGATTTAACTACGTAAGGGATACATGTATTCGTATGAAGCCAATCCTGTCCCTAAAGAAGGTGTGGCTCTAGGAAATCTAGTTGGGGTAGAACCTGGCGTAAATCGTTTGCGCATTAAAAAATGTCAACATAACCTGGCGCAATCCTTATATGCATTCTACTCACGTTTTGTTATGCTTCGTAGGTTTATTGTTTGGTGGTTTATTATTATAACCCAATATTTATGCTTGCAACTCCTCCGAACCGTCAAAATTAGAGTTACTTACAGTGTTGATGACAGCAACACACACACACACACACCCACACACAGAGAGAGAGAAACCCAGTGTTGCCAGAACCCACATTGAAAATTCCGCTACTGATATCGAAAAACTCCGCTATTTTCCGCTTCTGCTATTATACAGGTTGTGTCAAAAAAGAATAACATAAACCAAACAGCGTGATAAAACATAAGAAACTGTAATAAAAGAACATTTAACT